AAAAAAAAAAAAAAAAAAAAAAAAAAAAAAAAAAAAAAAAAAGAGGAAAAGTTCAGCGTAAAATAGGATCATCTTGTAAGGGATCAAGTCTCATACAGATTTAAATACACTTAAAACCCGTTTATTTAATACTTCATACTTCATACTTGCCAGATTTTATTGCACGTGTGCAAATGTTATACTAGTTGTGATAACATGATTTATAGAGCAACTTGTTCATAGATTTTTCAAATATTTATAAAAGTACATACTCGTAACTGTACTTCTATCAACTGCTGCTGATATTTTTTTTTCGTCTACATTTGCATTTGTATTTTCAATTAACTAATTATTATTATTATTATTATGTACGTATAGTTGATTGCTCGTCATGTCCTGGTAAATTATGCTGGAATGAAAATTCTTGTCAAAAAACGAAGAAACCCGAGTGCCATGAAAAATGCCTTTCGGATTGTTTTGGTCCGACAGACAGAGACTGTTATGTTTGTAAAAATTATCGACATGGCGGTCAATGTGTCTCAAAATGTCCAAATCATTTGTAAGTTTTTTCGAATTTATTCTTTACTTTTAACTGAAATAAAAAACATCATCGCTATTCTTTTTATTTAGTTTTCTCGTAAGATAACTTTTATTAAATTAATCTTCTAAATAACTTTTTCCATTAGCTCTTTACAATTTGTTGATTTTGTATAAAGTAGAAAATACTGTAAAGTTTTTCTTAATGAAAAAAACCCTATTACACCTGAAAAATATTAATTAAAGAATGTCAATAAAATAAGAAAATTTTATGTCTTATCATTGATAAATAAATAATTACAAAAGAATTAAATAAATAATTTATTTAACTTATACGAAATAGATTAAACTTTATCAGATTTAAGATTATTAAATTCGAAGAATTATTTGACCAAAAATTATTATCATTTACGATAATATAACTTACGGATAAATTTGTAAATTCAATTAAAAAAGAATTAATTTAATAATTATTATGCAACATTTGTAATATTGTGTCAATGAACATCTACTGACTTTTGTAAATTTCTGTAATCATTAAAGAAAGTTATATTTTTCTAATGAATAACTTTCGAGGAAGTTTCTTGTCTTATATTAATAATTCTTAAATAAAAATATATTCAATAAATTTTATGAGTTAAAGTAAAAGTAAAATTTAAAATTAATACCGACAATATTGATGGAGTATTAATAACATATTAGTTTTTGAAGCATACAAAGTAATCAATTTAATTTTTTATGTTCAATTAAATTTCTTAATTCTATACGTAGTATAATTAAGACAACAAAAAGTTAATGAATTAAAAAAATGGTCGCGTTGAACTTACAATAATTTATTTAAACAGAATAAGCAATAAAAACTAGTTCGAATTTAATAAAAATGGTAACTTTCATTCTAAGAAACAATTAATCATTTATTGAGTTTCTTCCTTGACTATAAATATTAAACTATAATTAATATAATTAATTTTTTTTTAATGAACCAGGTATGCATATTCATCACGACGGTGCATAACAGCTCTAGAGTGTTTGAATTTGAATAATATTCGTAAAAGTGATGAAGATAGTAAACGATGGCGTGCATTTAATGACCTATGCTTGGATCACTGTCCACTTAATTTCGAGGAAAGATTCGATCAAAACAACGTAATTATGAAATTTCATTATCTGAATAGTTGCCATAAAATTAGTTTGTAATATACAAAACTTCACAATAAGCCATATATAATCATTTTTTTACAATTTTATTAATAACATTCAAGTTATTAGTTAAATTAAAATTAAATTGCAAGAGAATAATATTATTACTCATTTTAAAAGCATTCTGGTTAAAGATTACGTCTAGTTGATTAATGATTTTTATCGTGACTAACGACAAATTCATGTGAAAAAATTAAAATTTTATTATAGATTTATAGATTTTGTTTATTGATACCAAGGCACAGGCCAAATGGCAATTTTTATTACATAGTATATACAGTTTTTACAAGAAAACAATTTCTGTTTCTGTGAGTACATAATATAGTATTGCATAAAAATTAATTTAAATAATTTGTATATTAACATGGTAAAATCAAATTAAACTTAGAATTTAATATAGAAAACAATAATTTAAAAATATAGAAGTTTGATGTCATCAAATCAGATGATAATTCAACATAATAAATCTGCAATAATTTATTTGACGTCGTTTTAATTATCAAGATTTAATAAGTAATTAAAAACTTCTTTTTTAAAGACTTGCAAGCTACTCGAATTTACAATTTCGCGTGGAAGTTCTTCCCAAAACCTTATTACAGTTAATGACACTGAAGTTAGCAGACGTCGAAAAATTTTTGATTTTTTTTTTTTAATTAAATTACAACTAAAAAGATATTTTTAAGAAATTGCACTTATAGTTTTTCAAGTTTTTAACAAGTGATATTTTTTTTTTTAATTGTTTAATTGAAATTTTTTGGATAAAAAAATTTCTAAAAATTTTGAAATGTCAGCTAACTTCATTTTCATTTACAGTTACTAAAAAAGATTTCTCCAAGTAGCTTGTGTATTAATAATTAAAAAAAAAAAAAGAAATAATTTAGGAATCTATTGATAACATTGAAGTGTTAAAACGATTAAAGCTTCTAAAAATTTATCTAAAAGTGGCTGATTATAAAAATAAAATTAACAATTAATAATAATATAAAACTAATTAATAAAAATTTTTTTTAATTTCTAGTCTCTAACATGTAAAGCGTGTAATGGTACATGTCGTAAAATAGGACTCAGTGGATTGATTCGACATATATCCGATTTACAACGATATCAAGGTACGACATTTGTAGACGGTAATTTAGAATTTCAAATCCAGAATGAAATTCCAAACATAGTAGAAGAATTAACAAACGCCTTTGGCATGGTTGAAGAAATCACAGGCTATCTGAAAATATCTCATTCGTTTCCGATAGTCTCACTAGAATTTTTCAAAAAGTTGCGTGTCATTGGCGGTAAATTTGTGGACATGGCTAGAGCAAGTGTCGTCGTCATCGATAACCCAAATTTATCAAGTCTCTTTCCGGAATCACAAACAGTTAAAATTCTGAATGGTCGGATATTTTTCCACTACAATCCGCGACTGTGTATGTCAAAAATAATATCTTTTGCTAAATCTGCAGGGATTAAAAATTTTACGGAGATAGAAATCCAACCCGATTCTAATGGTGAAAAAGTAGCATGCGATATTGTAAACATAAATTTAACAATAAAACAAAAAGGATCGTACTTTGTAGATTTAGCATGGGAAATTTATAATCCAAGCGAAGGACAACGTTTATTGGGTTATCTATTGAGTTACATCGAGACAAATAATGAAAATGTTACTTTTGAAGGTAATTCGTGTGGTGACAAACACTGGCGAATATTAGACGTTGAGATTCCGTCATTAGATTCACCAAACACTAAAATATCTAAATTGATAGTTGATCTTAAACCATACACCAAGTACGCTGCTTACGTTAAAACACTTGCAGTAAGAGATAAAAATTCTTTTCGCAGTCCAACTGGACAATCAGAAATAATGTATTTCACTACTGAGCCTGACATACCATCAGTACCATTTGACGTTAAGTCTTATGCCAAAAGTACTTCTGAAATAATCGTTGAATGGGGTCCACCTGAACAACCTAATGGCCCAATATTAAACTATATTATAAGGGGTTACTTACGCCGAGAAGACCGTAAATTTTTACTAAAACGCAATTATTGCAACAACGAGTTGGTAAATGAAATCGAAGAACAGCAAATACCAGAAGTTACTGTAAAACCAGCATTAATCGATCCCAGAGTACCTGCGTGCTGCCGAAAAGATCATACTGTTTCAACAGAATCGACATCTAAAAGCTTTGAAATATTTTGCCCTAATAATGTGACGCTAGCTCCTACATCTCCAGATAAAAGAAATTACTGCCGTTTTAATGAATACGTCATTGACAATAATTACAAATCCAATTTTAGTTCGGCCGTCAATTTTCCAGTTGAAGCTACTAAAATAGATATACTTGATGATAAAAAAACACGCATGTACAATGACGTGTACTATTCATTCGTATTTAATGCAAGTGCCAATAGTAGTTCATATAGTTTGAAAAAATTACGTCATTATTCACTTTACACAATATCGGTAACAGCATGTGGTGTCACTCTTAAAAATGGTACACGGTTGTGTTCATCAAATCAGTATACTAATGTAAGGACTAAAGCATTGTTACGTATGGACGATGTTGATAATATTAAAATAAGTGTATTAAATGATACAATTGTTTTGATAACCTGGGACACTGTTAATGACCCAAACGGTATTACTGTATCATATATAATTGAGTATACGAATCTCAATGTGCAGAATGCTAAAAAAAATACAATATGTATACCAGAAGGTGTCTATCGTGAAAAACGTGGTACTTATACACTTACGAATCTCATACCAGGCAGATATAGTGTCCGTTTACGCTCAACATCACTAGCTGGTAGTGGTAATTGGTCACAAATAAATTATTTTTCGATTGATATTAAAAACGATAAAATTACAATAATTATAATATTTATAGTATTATCTTTTGTTATCGTAATAGCTATTATTGGATATTTTTATTTATCATATCAGAAGAAAAAGTTCCAAGCGCGTTTGATAGCAAGTGTTAATCCGGATTATGTTGAATCAAAGTATGTTAAAGACAATTGGGAAGTACCACGAGAAAATCTCGTTGTCGGTGGACCGCTTGGTTACGGTAATTTTGGTCGTGTCTTTCGTGGTAAATTGAACGGCGTACAAGACGTCGCTATTAAAACGATAACTGAAAAAAATTATACTGAAGATGATAAAAATGAATTTTTGAATGAAGCGTCTGTTATGAAAAAATTTTCAACTTATCATATTGTTAAATTATTGGGTGTTGTTTCAGAAGACGAGCCACCTTATGTTATTATGGAGCTGATGGAAAAAGGTGATTTAAAATCATATTTACGTGAAAATCGTGATATATTGATATTAGATGTCCCACGTATTATAAGAATGGCCGGCGAAATAGCTGATGGTATGGCTTATTTAGAGGCTAACAAATTTGTTCATCGTGATTTAGCGGCACGTAATTGTATGGTATCTAAAGGTTTAGTGTGTAAAATTGGTGACTTTGGTATGGCTAGAGATATTTATGAGACTGATTATTATAAGATTGGCCAAAAAGGCTTGTTGCCCATACGTTGGATGGCGCCTGAAAATTTATCCGACGGTGTATTTACGTCCGACTCAGATGTTTGGTCATTTGGTATTGTACTGTATGAAATTCTTACAATGGGCGAACTACCCTATCAAGGTTTCTCGAATGACGATGTCCTGAGCCATGTGTTAAGGAAAGGTATCGTTACCATACCACGTAACTGCCCGGAAATAATTCTCAAGTTGATGGAAAAGTGCTTTAAGTGGCGTCCAAGTGAGCGACCAACTTTTATCGAGATAGTGTCAGAGCTTGAGCCCTTCTTAGCCCAAGACTTTTGTGAAAAATCGTTTTATCATTCTGAAGAGGGTGTTGCGTTACGCAATGCGGGGATAAAAAAAGTTTACCATAATCCCGCGCAAATACGATTTTATTGGGGCCAGGAGTCTACCGCACGATGGGTTAGAGATTGCGAGGACAACGTTACGTTATTGGATCAAACAATGACAACCGGGGCTAACAGGAATCGTAAATTAAAAAACGGATTACAGCATCTCGGTAATGTACTTGCCATGGAAGATGTACCGCTCAATCGATGATAGAGCTTATTCTTCTGGCATTTTATTGTAAATTATTATTATTAATTAATTAATTAATTAATTAACAGCGTCGAAGATAAATCGAAAAACATTTTTATTATTTGTAAGTAATTAATTTTATAAATTTGTGTGTGTCAATATGTACAAACGATATTCTCAGGGCAACAATAGTCGATTGTAGTTGTTAAAACAAAAAACGCATGGATAGATAAAGAAAAACTTTTTAAATCGACCGTTTTAAAATTAAAATCCATTTACGTACTTTGATTTTTTTTTTTTTTTTTTTTTTTTTTTTAACTAGGATAATTCGCTTTTAAATTCTCAATGAAAAGAAAAATTAATCGGAGAAATTTTTGAGCTTTTCTATATTTAAATATTGTATAATAATTTTTAAAATAAAATATTTGAGTATACGATCAATATACTATATAAACCTATCCAGTTATTGTTTTACATTGTTAGATTTTTTTAATCTATGTCTTTTTGAGGATAAAATTTAAAAAACTGACGAAATACAATTCGTTTGTAATAATTAAATAATTATTATTATTTTTGGTGAAGCAAACTCAGTATGGCTGGTAGTTAAACCGAAATTAAATTTAAACACATATAATATTTTTTAAATTTTGACAATTAATTATGTTATGTTATTTTAATATTTAAACTATTGACCTTCATAAATAATTTATTTAACTTATCAATTTGACGTTAAAAATATTTTTATAAATTTATTTTTCATCTATTCATTTGCCGACGATTGAACCTAATTAAATTAAATACATTTTTTACATTAAATATATTGTCTCTAAATCAATAGTTTGAATATTACAATAATTACTTCCAGACTAAAACTATAAAAAATCGTTTAATTGAATGGCAATTTAGAGCAAAACAATGAATTTTTAACGATTTTGACCTGAAAATTTGAAATTTATATATAATCTCAAATTATTACAAGTTTTATTATTAGTAAGTCACGATTAACGTTGCACGAATTATTTTAGAATTAAAATAATTAATAAATATATTAATATAATTATCAACATATTAAGATCTCAATAATAAAAATAAAATTAAAAGTCACGGGTATTTTATAGCAAAACAATGCAGTCAATTTTTCATCCAAATACGTTATTTTGTTATCAATTTTTTAAATAAGCGTTTACAGGTAATTTTATTTATTGGTAAAGTTATTTCGAATTTATTTACAACTAAATTGATCAATCGTAAATTTCACTAGAAAACTATGACTCAAGAACATTAAAAATATTTTAACTTATTTATGAAAAATAACTAATAGTAACGACTGTTTGATTTGTTTGTACAAAATAACTCTGAATTTTAATTATATTCTAATAATAATTTTTAATCGTGATTATAAGCTTATTATTATATTTAATTAATCGGGCGATTTCATGTAATATTATAACGACAAAATTACTAAAAAAATTAATCACACAAAAAATAATAATATAGTGAAATCTTCACAAGAAAATAAAATAAATTTTCAATGAAGTAGTCAAAATGTATTAAAAAAATTCTACAATTTAGAATATATATGTGTTGATTTTGAATTCAAGAAACGATTGAAACTCTCATTTTATATTTTTTGGTATCCGAAATTGTAATATCTGTCATTGGATCTATTATTAATCATATTTTATTTATTGTGAAAATAGTTTTTGATCATCAACTTAGTTATTTTGTCGTTATGATTAATCTACGTCCCACTAATGCTGTTGATTGATCACTGAACTTTTTTTTATCTTCGTTATGATAAACAATATATTGCTTTCCATAACATAGACAATTAGTAAAGTGATTAAACGCCGTAAGTTAACACTTATAAACACGTCATTCCTTTACAATTAGGCCAATGATTTCCAATTAATATAAACTATAGTTATTGCTATTAGTAATAATTTAAAACTAAAAAAATCAGAGACTTAATGAAGTTGTAAGTCTCAAATCGGGGACATATGTTCATTGTTTCTGCACCAAAGTTCCTCTTTTATGTGCTTTATATACTGTACATATACTAATTATAATAATATTAATTTATAATATTTAGTTCTCGAATACGACAGATTAATGAGTATGATAGTATAAAATATAATAATAAATATACAAACTAAATAAAGACTTTGAACCTCCGTAGATTTTAAATAAACGCCACCAAACTGGCTTTAGACTCGATAGTTTATGCAATATCTAATTTTATGATACAGTCAATTGTGTTCTTTGATTTTTTTTTTTTTTTTTTATAATTATTATATTCCACTGTTTATGTTAATACATTTACTTTGTTATAGTTTTATAAACGACGCTTGATTTTTTTTCATTTCATTAAAAAAAAAAATGCACCGGTAATCATGTAAAATTATTATTATTATTTTTTTTTTATTGACGACCGTAAAGTTATTTATGTCATTGCTTAGTTTGATAAATTATCTCTAAGATTGTTTATACAGGGAGAGACAAAACGCTTAGATATATTTTTTTAAAATAAAACTTAAGAAAAAGTTATGTTAATTTTTTTACTCATCGACTGCTATTGTAAATGGTGCACGCGTTGTTTATTTACAAGTTTATTTTATGAATTTATTTTATTACTTTCATCAATGCACACGATAATTTAGATTAAAAACTCAATGTTTTTTTAATACATTAAATAATATTATTGTTTTAATTAAGTATTTTAAAACTAAAGTTAATTTTTTACAAAAAATATTTATTAATAAAATCGTTTTTCGTCCAGAAGTAATAAACAAAAAAGAACTAGAATTGTTGGATCATTGAAAAATTAAAATTAAGTTATTTACAAGCAATAGCCAAATTAATCATACAAATCAATTTATATCGGAGTGTTCAATTATGAATAATCTCTAAGCACAATTTATACATTTGACACAAAATAGAAAATTAATTTTTGTCAAACATTTTAAATAATATATATTGTATAAATTAAAAAATAATTTACTTTGACATATTCAGTAGCGATTGTACGATGTCTATTATTATAACCATTGAAGTGTTAATTTCTATATATATATATATATATATATATATATATATTCATGTAATGGTAACCATACAGTGCCTTAAGACGGGAACTCGAACGTTGAAAGTTTTAATTGTAGAAGTTTGATAACTTTTTAATTTTAATAAAATAACTTGCGGCATAATATTTAAGTATCGAATTCTCATAACTAATAAGATATAGCGAATACATATTATTAAAATTATTGTTATTATTATTGTAATTGATTTTAATTATCGTTTCAATAACTTGTCGCAACATATCATCCATCATTCTACATTAAAAATATATAATAGCTCATGTATATAAATCCAAGTATCAAGAACTTTTTAAAATAGCAAAAAAAGTATCGAAAAAATTTGACAACGTTTCAATAATTATAATAACTGCCAGATTAAATCCGTGTACACGATAAATTTTAAAGCATTTCATGCCATTCGCAAATAATAAAAAAAAATAGATATGTATAGGTAAAGGTACTGTAAAATATTGAGAAAAGGAAACAATTCATTAGTGTAATGTATTTATGGTGTAAGAAAAATTACAAAAGTTTTGTTTTCTCGATATTTATATAATAATAAAATTTTAATTCTTATTTAATATTTATGAACAAAGTAAGAAAACAACTATATTGTTTTAAGCGTTGTGATTTTTTATTTGGGAAAAAAAAAAAAAAAACAAAAAAAAACAAAAAAAAACAAAAAGATATGTTTTAAAGACAACGTTTTAATTCCTAATCAAAAATCCTGCCATACCGAGTCTTCCAAGACAGAGAAACTACAAAAAACGTTAAGAGTAAACTAGTTTATTAATTAACTGTAAATTAGTTCTAAATATTTATGTACCTTTTGATTGTCGTTTTATTTATTTTATTACGCAGGGCTACTACTTCCTGATTAACTTTATTATTTGTATTTGTATATAAGCAATTATAAGATAAACGAAACAACACAAAAAGCTTACAATTAGCCAAATCGAATCAATTTAATTATTTATTAAATCCATTATCATATCTATTAATTATTTTTACCATTTACTCTCTATTGAGACTGATTGCAATATGTATAAACGTATATTTTTTGTCATTTCATATAATTATGTCAACGTTACATTACACCGCATACACTACACTAATTTAGTATTTGCCGATGCCATGTGCAGATGAGTATTATAACTAGTCACATAAGCCAAAAGTTTGTTACTATCACAGATTTTTTTTTCTTTTTTTTTTTCCAGTTTTGTAATAAAGAATATTTTAAATCCAATTTACAATTTTTTTTTTTTTCCTTTTTTTATCTCATTGTATTGATAAATAAATTATATGTAAAGTATATTGTGTAAGTTAATTGTAAATAATTACTTGTATAAAATTTTGCTAAAGTTAATATAAACTAATAATAAAATTTAATATTTCACTTACAGTAGTTATTATTTTACAAATAGTTTTAGAAATCAAACTTATTAATAGTTCTCTGGCTAAATCATAATTTTTTTAATAAATTTAATTTTTTTTTGATACACAAAATATTTATTGTCATTGACACCTTTGAAAATATTCATTTTTAAATTATTTTACTTTTTAATTAATTATTTTAATTTTTTTTCAAGTATTGAGTGTTACATTTGAGTACACCCATAACTTAAAAATTTATTTATTGTAAAAAAATTGAAATAAATAGTAATTAAGGTCAGTTTTTTAAATTAAAATCGAATTTTAATAAATGTATTAAAAAGTAGTTTTTGTTACACAACATTAATGTAAATTAATTTGTTAAATTTTTTGATAAATAATTATAAAATGTTTTTTCGACAGTTGATTTCTTCTCAGTGGAGGATTTATTGATAAACAATCCAGTGAAGTTTTCTATAATCAAACAATATTATCAGTGTTTTTAATTATTAATTTAAATAAAAAATGTTTGTAGTAATTACCTCGATAATATAATCAGGTATGCATTTAACCCAAACGTATCAAGTTGATATCATTTTGAGTAAGCATATTCCTAATCCCAAAGGGCAGTGGAACGACTAAGAAAAAACAAAAAAATTGACAGATTTATTTTTATAATTTTTTCTTTAAAGTTTATTTATTTATATACTGTTACTGAATACTTACTTCCCAATACTTTCCAATCCTCAATTGTAAACTTTTTTATTTGTATGTTAATAAAACACTATTAAAAAGTAATATATTATTTGTAACTTGCACTTTTTTTTTTTCATTAAAGCATTAATGTCTTAAAAGAAGCAGTAATAGCGTAAAAACACCAGTTAAGCTCAGTTTTGGGGACTTTAAAAATATCGATAAAATAATTTGTAAAGTGTAAAAAATATCATAATTATTTTTATGGAATTTAAAGACTTCAATTATACATAGTAACAATGAAAGTATGAATTTTTCGCATATTTTTCATTTGGATAAGTATCCAAAACCAGCACTTAACAGTTAACAACAAAATTTATCTAAAAAAATTGTTAAAAAAAAAAACATTAAGTTAAATTTAGAACGAAACTTACGCAAACTCAACCACCTAAAATAAAAAATGTGATAATTAAAAGTTATGAAGAAATTATTTTAATGCTTTTCTTGATCATTAATTATAAGTTTTTATTCAATTTATCAGGTATAAAATAAAATATAAATGAATTGCTGTCAAGTGTAATTATTAAGTAACGAGATTGTATTCCTCAAGCGAATTTAAATTTTCGGTTACAGAATTATTCAAAGAAAAAACTTTCATTTAGAATGAAGGGCATAGATTATGTAGTTTCTTATCGCTAGAAATAAATTTATTCATATATTTTTATTGTTGAATGGCTATAAAATATTGAGTTAATCAGCTAATAAAAAACGCCATTCGGCCACACCCGAAATGGAAGGTAGATTTCACTGAATGAAATTCTTGATAGAATGACGTACATAAGTCGGTTGTACTACTCATTGCCTGAAAATGGTTTAGTTGCACTCTTAACTTTGATAAAATAACTAAAAATGGTCAAAATGTCAATGTTATATACGTCAAATTAAAGGTAATTTCATGAGCTATCACATGAATTTTTCAAAAATTAGCTATCTCTGTTCAATCAAAAATTATACATCAATGAAGTGACCAAAAACGTGATTTTCACTATTTTGAAAATTTTAAATGGCTGCCATTTCTAAACTAATTGATCGATTTTGCTCATCTTCGAACTCGTTCAAGGTAATTACCCAAAGAATATGTGTACCGAGTTTCATCTAAATCCGTTGAGAATTGTAGACGCTATCGTGTCCACAAGCCGCGTTATATTACATATGTATATATATACATAAATATATAAACTTTTGAACCAATGCTAATTTTGAGCTTTACTCGACTACATAAGAGATAAAATGACAAAATTCCGTGTGAATTCCGACACAAAGTCCAATGCGATAGATAGATTTCTACGAAATCTACCTAAAAAGCATGACAATTAGTACTTTACCTTGAAATTATTGTTGAAGTCAAAGGATCTTTTTCCTATGCCGAAGCTAAAGAGTCGATATTGGTTAATTATATTGAATTCTTTAGAATTTTCAACAAACTCAATAACAAAAATTAGCAAAAATATCTGGACCAAACACATGATTTTTCTCGGATTCATTATTTCACTAGTCAATATTCACTTTATTTATCAACAAAATAATTCTTAAACTACACTATAAGCATCTACTTTTATAGTTGGCTTTTAAAACTAAGTATAGATTTATTAATAAAAGTTCACTTCTCCAATCAATTATTGAATTAAAAAAAATTAGTTTTTATTGATCATAAATGAATCCCGTCACTTTGGAATTAAACAACGTAATTTCAATATTATATTTAACTTTTTAACAAATAAACCGATCAGTATAAAACCATTACAATGAATTAAACAAATAAAAAAAAATATGACTTGTTTAATTATTGATGGAGATTTTTTCAATAGAAAAATTATTTAAGCTAGAATTATATATAAAATTTGCGTTTAAGTTAAGAAGACGGGTTTATATATTTGATATTTTAATATTTACCAAATATTTATATCTTCAAGTCAGCTTAATCATTAAATCCTAATCTTTAGCTTTAGCTTTGTTGAATTTGTAATAAAAAATAATGTTTATTAAAAATTATTTTTCATCGAAATGAATGATTAATACATAAATACTTTATTTTTATCTACACACATAAAATATAAAAGCCTTTAAATAAATAGAACTATATAATAATAATTTAATAATTTCACAAGTATGATTTGAAGCCTTAAAATTGCTTGATCCCAATTTTAAATTACTGTGGGACGTAGTACACCCACATCACATCAACCATCAACTGTTTGTTGTACTGTCAAACAAAGACCAGAAGAAGATTCATCCGGATTACAAGAAACCTACATCACGCTTCGGTTAACTTCAACGAGTAATTCATACGGTTTAACTTCACAACGGATTGCCCAACAATTAAACTCCAATAGAAAAAATTTTGATCAAGTAGAGTTAAAAAAATGTGCTTGATGGTACAAATGTAATAAATCGAAGTGACCTACCTCGTTATTATAATGTAGTTCACGAATTCTAGGTCACGATTCATCACTTGACCGAATATAATAATTCGTACCAACCTGTCTTTTAATCCAATCGTCAATCGCTTCAGTCGCATTCATTCCTCATCGCCATACCATTCGTATTTGTGTTTATGTTTAAAAATCGTGATATCATGAAAAATAATTACAAGTTTTTTTACTTCCAAGAAAAATTTAATAAAAATCAGTAGCATTAAAAAATTAGTAATTAAAATCGACCTTGGGTGGTATCGATGTAGAGAGCGTGACGGTTTAAAAAAATGATTGGTGACTCTAATCAAAATGTTTCATCAAAATTAAGTTAGCCGACATTTAAAAATTTTTAGAATTTTTTTTTATTGAAAAAATTATCACAAAAAAATAAAAAAAAAAAAATTTCACTTGTTAAAAACTTCAAAAACTATAAGTGCAATTTTTTTAAAATATTTTTCTAGTTGTAATTTAATAAATTAAGCAATATAAAAAAATCAAGGTGTCGGCTAACTTTATTATTATAAATGTTTCAAATTATTTGTAAATAAAAAAGTGCGGATTAATAAAAAAAAAAAAAAAGTTTTTTATCAAAGAAATAAAATAAGTCAATGTACCTGGTGAAATTCATTGAAGAAATAAATATAATGATATTAAGTGATGACTAATTCATATATAAATCGCCTCCGCTTATTTTAAGCGTCATAATGGATGGCATGTCACGAAACAAAGTGATGTGAAGAAAATTATCCTTAGATCAGCAAATACACGCGATAAGAATTATTTTCTGTGAGAAAAGAAATATATGCATCGCTGTGAAGTTTACTTTTGTTCATTTACACTTGTGAATTTTAAACCCCACGTGCATACTACGTTATACGCTAGGCACATGTTATATCACATTTGCGCACTGAGCGGTCATTAACGATGACATTTAAAAGTGTTGTTTGTTGTTGTTAGATGTAATTATTTCAAACATTAATCCGTTCTCCACTAAATACTGAGCAATTTAACAATATTGTACGGCAATCGAGGTCATTTGCAATCACCGGACGTATACAGGAAGTATAGAGAGAAACAGTCATTGGTGACGTAAATAATTCATAGTAATGTTTTTTATTTAATTTGTACTCTTACTTCTTTGTTGATTCTTAGATTTTAGTTTACATTTTTACGTAAACCAAGATTATGTTACACGGTTGTTTACTTGTTGTTTTAATTTTTAATTACAATTACTAAAATTATATTTTGTTTATCTGAAAGTGTTTAACGTAAAAGTTCACGCAAGATGTTGTGTGTTAATGTATTGTTTTTTATCTTCTTAATCCGTTTTTCTAAAGGAGAACTCGAGGACATTTGTCATGAAAACAATGGTAAGTCCTTTGCAATTATTATTTTAAGTTTTTATTGTTAAGAATTGAAAAAATAGAACTTTAAATAATATAATGATACTGAAGTTAGCAGATGTATAAAAATTTTTGATTTTTTTTATTAATTAAATTACAACTAAAAAGACATTTATAAAAAATTGCACTTATAGTTTTTCAAGTATTTTACATGTGAAATTTTTTTTTTCATAATTGTCTAATTGAAATTTTTTCAATAAAAAATTTCTTCAAATTTTGAAATGTCAGCTAACTTTATTTTCATATAATATAATCATATTGTTGAAGAAAATAGTGAAAGTAATGAATAATTTTGAACATGTTTGAAAAAAAAAAAAAAAAAAAAATTAGGCAACAGAATTACTAAACAAACAGACAACTAGAAGACTAAAACGGTTCAAAACAATTGATTTAAAAAATCGTTTTCAATAATATTAGTAGACTTTTTTTTTTTTTTTTTTTTTATTTAAATGCTTCCAACGTGGTAATAAATATACCAATCGAGTGGTTTTTTTTTAAATTTTGTTTTCAAATGTTCTTTCATAAAACATTTGATTTTATTCAAAATTTCTGCCTTCATCATTTTTTTTCAGTTCAGAAAAAAAGACGATATTGACTATATGCATGCTCCATTAGAAAATTTTCATCAATACTTAGATTAATTTAAGGATTTCCGAGCCTGGTCCGATCGTTTAAATTTTACGCAAATACTAGTTGAGATGAACCGATATTCTAAAATAAGGGTATTAAATAAAATTTTAATATTCATAAATTTTTAAAAAAGTGAAAAATATTTAAACAATCAAATTACAACTTATTAGATCATTACTTTTTCAATTTATTATGTATTCCAATGAATTTTTATTTATATTTTGTGAAAATTTCTAAAATCCTTCAAGATTTAACACATGCAATTTTAATTCAACACGTTTTTCTTAGATTATCAGTCTAGCTATAAATAGATTTTCTGGATTTGTAAAATTTTATGATTGGATTTAAAAAAGTCACTGTTAAATATTGGAACGCAATTAGCAAAATGAAAAAATTTTAAGACCAAACTAACGAGAAAAAAAATTCACAAACAATCGAACTAAATGTCGTTCACTCACGATTGGATAGAGCTCAAAAGTTCTTAAATTAATCGAAGTACTCTGGAGGATTTTTTTTAAAGTTTCGAAGAAGGTATACATTTTGACAATCGACTTTTTTTTCAATAAATAAAAAAAATGATAAATGAAAAATTTTGAATAAAATTATTTTTTTTTCTGAGGACATTAAAAAAAAAATCGAAAAAATTCATAGGCATGTTTTCAATTAGCTTCAAACACACATTACATCTTAAAAACAAATCGGAATGATCTACTTAGAAATACCCGAGTCGAAATTTAGAGCCTATGTAGAACCCTTTAGTCCGAAATAGATCCGACTGAGAGCCCTGTAGTCCCATAGCTCCGATTGTGAACCCACAGATCCGAACATTCACCCAGAGGTCCGATTTTGAACCCTCAAGTCCGTTTTCACCTTGAGAAAATTTTTCTCTTGAATATTTGATACCCATTTTATATTATTTTAGCGTGCAATTATACATATTGAATGAAAAAAAATGATGAAATATTATTTGATCTTCCCATTTGACATGTTAATCAATAAAAATGTTAATAAAAATTTACTTCTATCTTCATATTTAATTTTTTGGAGGAAGAGAGCAATTTTCTCAAGGCAAGAAAATTTACTTCTATCAAGAACTAAATTTTTTGGAGCAAGAAGCTGAATTTTCTTAAAACAAGAAGATTTTTTTGACTTAAATAAATTTTCTTGGATCAAGATACGTATTTCTTAAAGCAAGAGAATGAATTTTGTTGAAATAAGTGAAATTTCTTGTGTCAAAAAAAAAAAATTTTTTTTTTCAGTTTGAAAATTCAAAAAATAGTGTTTTATTAAACTTCTATCAGATTTTTGAGCTTGGAGAATTCAAAATGACACGAAAATTATATTTATTAAAAATTGATTTTTCTATCAATTATTTAATTAAAATTTCAATCAATAATTAAAAAATTAAATTTATTAACTGAAAAAATTTTTCTTCTTGATCTGAAGAGAAAAATTCTTAAACTAAGAAATTTATATTGCTTTAATAAGTAAATTTTATTTGATTCAAGAATTTTTCGTCTTGATTCAATACAATGAATTTCTTCAAAGTTATAAAAATTTATTGTGTAATTAATATTTGTTAGCAAATGCTAAAATTGAAAATTTATTATTCAACCAAAACAATTACATCCCTATCGTCAAAATTGATATGGTTGTTAAAAAAATTAAAATTTAATAATTTACAGTTAAATTTTTAATATTGATAATTTTGAATATTAAAATTTATAATAAAATATTGAAAATCTACAGAATGATGTACAAAGTCTAGAGTAATATGACTTGACTTTAGCATTTTTTTTAATTAATAACCATGTGTAAAAAATAGTTAATTTTCATCAAAACACTATATTAAATAACATAAATTATATAAATAATTAAACCGTCACACTTCATCATTATATAGATTTAGCTTATGAGAATGATGAGATGTAAAGTAGCTCATCGGTCGTTAGGTATCGGTCTAGCAAGCGCGCGGCTCGGGTTCGAATCTCGGATAGGACGAATGCGATTTTCACTTTATTTCTATGATTAGCGAAAGTTAGGTCTAAATAAGAGTCAAACAGTCTGAATTTGCGTTAGCTCTACATCTAAAATCAAATAAAAAAAATGACGCTTAAAAAATTAATTTTTTTCTTATTTCTTATCAAATAGCATGAGGCAGACTTGAAAATTGACTAGGGCACAGCCCTGGTAACCAGGCATGGGCTAGTCGTGGTAACTAAGGGACTCAGGGGTTCAAAATCGGATCTAATTTTTATTTTCATCAGGTCCGATTTTGAACCCTAAAGCGCCGAAAACGGAATTTTGTAGCGCTTGTGGGACCAAAACCGGACCTACTTAAACATGGAAACAGGCTCTAGTTTGAACCCCTAAGTCCGAAATAGATCCGACTTTAGAAGGTTCTAAATGGGCTCTAAATTTCGACTCGGGTTATTTCTTGAATATCGAATTTAAAATATTGCTAATACCGAAAATAAAAAAAATTTTTTTGTTTATCTCAGAAATAGAAAGCAGTGATTTATCAATTCTAATATCACCTTTGATGTCATCGGAGATGATACGAGAAATTAGTATCTATTGGAAAAATTCGCATCTTAAAAATGGTGATGTATTTAAACTATATAAAGGCGATCCGAATACAACAGAAGCTCAGGTGATCTACACATTCAAACCAGATGCAATTCACGGCTACAAAAAAACTGGAATGAGCAGTGATTTTATTTCTACCTCACAATTATCATTTAGAGACGAGTGCTTGAGTAAGTCACTTGATAAATAATTGTAATTATATATGTGTGCATACATAAAATTAAGTTAATTATGATAAAATTTTATTTTTTAATCTAGAGTATTACGTATCGTGGGTACGGAATGACACAATAAAAAAGACGAGTTGTTTATCAACACATCCAAATTGGATGGCTAAAAGGAAAAAAACTTTAGGGCATTTAAAAATGCGTGAAGTTTTTATTCCCGGGACTCATGATTCCGCAGCTTATAATAAATTTCAAAATTTTAGAACAGAGTTGATCATTGATAAGTATACAATAACTCAAGTAAGTTCATTTATAACTCACTAAAAAATTTTTAAGACTTTTTGATAATAAATTATTATTTTACATTATCTAGGTATAACTTTTTACACATTTTTTTAAATCAATAATTTATACGTTCTTATTTTTATTTTCTTCTTGAGAATAACTTTATAATCTTTTGAAGAGAAGTACTTCCACTTTCTAAAAATTAAATTTATGTAATTAGACTATTTTGGATAAACTAAAAAAAAAAAATTAACTTGATTTTGAACACAAAAAAATAATAATTCACTACTTTAATGAAGCTCTTAACCATAACCCCGAGCTATAATTATTTTGGGTGAATTGAAACGCCGAGCAACATAATTTAGTAAAATTATTACTAAAAATTGAAAAAGGCTTTTGTAATTCATATTTTTTAAAATTAATTATTCACAATTTAACAACTTATGTCCGTTGTACATATTTAAATGCTTCTGTATCATTGTATAATTTTTAAATTATTATTATAATAAAGCGTAGACACAATAAGATTATTAACTTCGTTAAGAATCGCTGTCAAATAACAATGACTGATTTAAAATAAAAACAAATTAATTATACATTAATAAAATTTTCCTCGATCACGTAATATTTATATTTGGATCGTAAATCTTTTATAATTTCTTTTAATTTATACTTAAATATATTTTTTGTTGGAGATATAGTAATAATAGTAATATAGTAATATTCGCACGTACACTATACTCACACGCGTTGACGCGTCGACCTACTGCGCATGCAGTCACGCTGTAATATTGTATACTCGAGTCACTTATCTATTAGCACGTTGTCGAGTCAAGTCGTAGCAAGTATTTATCTATCGTTGTAATTAGTTACTGAATAAATTCATACGTCGTTTTATATTAAACTTGCTCTCATATTATTTATATTCACTCGATCTCTGTCTAACTCCCACATTTTTAAATTTCCTTTCGAAATTTTAATCTTCAAAATAAATTATTTGGTCAAAATTAATGTATCAATTTTGTTTGATTATTAGGATGAAGATGTATTGGCTCAATTAATTTACGGAGCACGTTATTTAGACATCCGTGTTGGCCGTTATCCAAATTCAGATGAAATTTTTTGGGGTAATCATGGACCAATTCGCATCGTACCACTTCGAGATGTTATAAGAGATGTTAAATTATTTTTGGACAATACTAATGAAATTGTTATTTTCGACATTCAAGAATTTCCAGTCGGTAATTTTCAAACTTTACTTTATTAACAATACAACAATAAAATAATTTGTACTTCGGGTGAGAAGTAATCAGTTGAAATGTTAATTTTATATTGCTTTGTTGTAAAATTTTATTACAGCAGGTCCCTGTTTAGAAAAAAGAATTCAAAATGACTGACAATGTTTATTCTCTACACTGAGATAAAAAATTTCTTTTGAAAAAAATTGGCATTGTTGTGACAAAAAATTAATTTGTTGCAAATTTTCAACCATTTCATTTCTTCAGCTAAAGAAATAAAATTTTTCTTACAGTAACTTTTTTGCTGAAAAAAAATTTTCTAGATTTGGGAAAAAATAAGTTTGGATGAAAATTCACAAGTTGTCTGTTTAAAATTATTATTTTCCGAATAAAAAAAAACTTTTCGTTAACAAGAAAGTTACGGTGAAAAAAATTTTGATTCATCAGTTAAGAAATAAAACTTTCAACAAATTAATTTCTTTTCATAGCAATGCCCATTTTTTTCAAATGAAATTTTTTATCTCAGTGTAAAAGAGAATATATTACTCAAAAGTTTTGAAGAGAATTCAAATTTCGCTATTTCCAATACTTTTTAATTCGTTTTTTTAATCAGGGATATCGCAAGTAAAATTTATCATTAAATAAAAAAGATGTAGAATAATAAACAATTTTAATTAAATTTTTCTAATGACTCGTAATTGATTTAATTTAATATTTAGGATTCAAATCATTGGCAGCTCACTATCAACTAACAGATTATCTACTCGAGCAATTCGACGGCTACTATCTGGATAGACCAGTCAATGTTTGGGGAACAAGCCTCGAGGATATTTGGTCAACAGGTAAAAGACTTATCATCAGTTATGATTACTCAAATATCGTCGCTTCAAGATCAAGTGTTTGGCCGCAAGTCGAACAACAGTGGGGTAATGTCAGAACTGTAAATGCTCTTTATAGGCACTTGAATAAAATAGAAACTCAAGCCGCTGATGAATCGTACCATTTGTAAGTTACTATTACTATTCTTACCTAATAGTATTTTTAACTTGTGCAAAAATCTACATTGAATAAATAATGAATTTTTTATTTTTTACAGTAATCGGTTATCGCAACCACGAGCGGCAATGGCTCAACTGACACCGACAACTATGGATGTAATATTTAATCGATTAGGCGGTCTTAGAAAAATGGCTGAGAATGTTGATATTAATATCACCGAGTGGTACAGCGATGAATGGCAGCATACTGCAAATATTGTTGCGGTTGACTTTATAAAAGCTACTGGAATTGTTGAAACTGCTATTAAATGGAACGATAAGCGTGCCAGTGGTTGTTAATTCAATAACTTGTATATAAAATAGTGATTAAATATTATTAATTATTATTATATTATAAAATATTGTTAATAATTTGTAATAGATATTTTTACAAATTAAATTCAATTTTATTTAAAGTTTTCAATATTATACGCAGTATTAAGAATATGTAGAATTGCGCAATACCAAGTTTAAGTTTTCATTTTTTTAATTCATTTGTCAACATAACTAATATCAAGTCATTTTTCATAGTGCAGCTATTGCATTCATAACTGTACGATGTAGCGTTTTTCAGTCTTTAAGTTCACTTGGTTGAAAAGCAAACTTTTAGTTTATGTCTTAAATATTTCTTTTATCTTTAATTTACATTGATATTGATTATTCATTATTGTGATATCGATATTTTTTTTCTTTTTTTTTTTTTTTACAAAAGAATGAATTTATAAAAAAAATTAATAAAAAAGGATAAAAAATAATTGTTCATATCCTCACTTTCCATAAAAACTAGTATTTGAAATGATTTTAAGGATTAAATCATTAAATTAAATCAAATGCTTTTAAATACATCTTACTCCTTTTGTTTAATCAACACAGCAGCTACCCAATTTTAAAACACAGTAACTGCAAAATTTTTATATCTAATTTTTTTTAATATTGCTGCATTTTTTATAACTTTTAGACCTAAATTTCAAGTATTTTTTTCTTTTAATATTTATATTAAAGTATTTTGTATTCATAAATCAAATTTTTAATCAATTTGGCAGGCAAACTTTTTTTTGATAAGAATAATTGAAAAAAATTTCTAAATGTTAGTTACTGTGTTTTGAAATTGGGCAGCCGACAGCTGCATAAATATAATTTGATTTACTTAAATCTAAAAAAGATTTTAAACTTTTCTTAATTGTAAGATGATTGAATGTACTTATATATTTTTTTTTTTTTCAATATCATATCTATAACTTTAAATTAGCTAACTTTGATGACCATAAAAAAATAAATATATGAAGTAATGTGTACTATCTAATAATATTTTTTCATGGTCATCTGATAATTTTTACAATAATCTATCATCAGAGATGTATCGATTTCAAATAGCATTCTGATGATCGTGTTTTCCGGCGGATGCGGATATAATTGAATGTTTCAAGGTAGAAAAAAATCTATTGATATATAAATTCAGATTCATAAAACGTACACATTAGTATCAAGGTGTAACTAATGAAATACTTACATTCGTACCGCAGAAAACATAATAATTAGATTATTCAGTTAATATAGTATTGCTCCTTACTAACATAAAAAAATAATTTTCTCTTTAATAAAAATATGTTTATTAAATACTTAAATATTTTTATTCTATTAAAAGTTATAAATTGTGACCAAGGAAATTTTTATCCACAAAATTATCAATACAGCAACACACTTGCATGTCCAGATAATAAAATATGTATTCCACTGGATTATTGTTCTGAAATGGTGAATTTATTACGTGAAGCAACATTTCCAGTTCACCGGTACGTTATTCTAAAAATAATTTCTTTATATTTTATTAAATTTATTGAGTATTTATTTAAAATAGATTTCGACAAGCTGTTTGTGGATATGTAGGAAAAACTACCAAAGTTTGCTGTAATTCTCCTCGTGATACTAGCAATACTATTCAGAATTATAATAACGATCCTAGTTATTCATCAGCTTCTAAATCTTCGCGAAATTGTGGACAGAGTTTTGTAAGAAGTAATACTCCAACTCTAGGATCATTTCCTTTTCTTGCTAGGGTTGGATTTATCAGTAAGTATATAAATTTAATTACAAAATATCAATGTATTATATTATAACAAACATTTAATTATATTTTAATATCCTTTAAAAAATTTTAAAACTTATCAGGTCAAATATAAAAAATTAAACCAGTTTTCTTCAAAGACCATCAAAATACTATGTAGACAATTTAATATAATTTATTTAACATTTTTTTTAACGAGATTTTTTATTCAAAAACATTAGAAAGCTATTTGCTTTTAGCTTTTTAAATAATTTTTTTCAATGTCAAAAATATTTTGAAACAATATTGGAGGACCAGAAGATAAAATAAAAAGTGAAGCAAAAAGGGTGATTCTGAAATAATAATCTTCCAGGTGTACAAATAGTGATTTGATTATAAACTATAAATTAGTGATTATCAATTATTAAAAATTTTTATTTTCTTTCTTTTATGACATTTAATTTAGCTTTCACTTGACAATTTTTTCATTTTCTTTAACAAAAAAATTTTTTCTTAAAAATTATTTTTAAAAAAAAGCATTTTTAATTTATTAAAATTTCTACAAGTCCATTTTTTTAATAATTTTTTTTTGCCATAATTTATTTATTAAGAAAAATTAAAAAATTGTCAAACGACTGCTAACTTTAATGTCATCTTTCTTTTTGTTTTTTTCTTCTCTCAAATCTCTTAAATATTAAATCTATCTTCTCTTTACCGATGCTATTTATTGTATATATATGTATATATTTCTAAACATTCTACACATGATATAACATATTCTTGTGAATTGCCGAGGGCGTTTCTTTACAAATAAATAAATATAAAATTGTGAATATATTAGTTTCGTCCATTGTATATAAGTCAAAAAAATTTTCTGCTATAATCTGCTCCTTGACATACTAAGAAATAAATCTAAGATATTATTTAAAAATTTTTTCTTAGTTTAATTAGAATTAAAAATTTTTTTTTTAAAGATTTAAATGATGGAAGTATAAAATATTCGTGTACTGGAACTATTTTAAATGAACGAACAGTGTTAACTACAGCTACATGTGCTTTAGCTAGTTCTGATGAATATAAGCTGTAATTAAGTATAAAAATAAAATTATTTTTAAAAAATAATGCTATTAAACAAATCACTTATATTTGATAATTAAATTCCATTTAGACATTCGGTGTTGATTGGAGAGTTTGACACATCATCAAATCCAGACTGTAATCAATTATTCTGTGCGTATTGCACGCAATCATATGAAGTATCTTATGTTGTAAAACATCCGAATTTTGATGCTAAAATTTTTGAACATAATATTGCTCTTTTACGCCTCAATAGTTCTGTTCCTTTTACACGTAAGTTATTTTAATTTATTAAAATAAAGATTTTTTATTTTGACATTGATTTAATGAAATTGTATTCGCTTTGATCTTTTAGTAACAGCGCAGCCTATTTGTTACTCTGATCAGCAATACATTCCAATAGGGTGTACTGCATTACTCGTAGGCTGGGGAAAAGTGTCTCATTATAAAGAATCAACTCAACAACAAGTATTACCAATTAAAATACTGCCTACTCAAGATTGCAATGAATTTTTATCTCAAGGTTTAAGCGTTGAGTTATGTGGAATAGGTTTTCAAGATGCTTGTTCAGGGTTCAGTGGTAGTCCTTTGCTCATTGGTGATGCGAGTGGTTATTCGGTGGTATAAATATATACATTTAATTTTTAATATCCTGAAGTTTCTTATTTTAAAACAAGTGTCATAAGAAATCATCTTCTAAAAATTAATTGTCGAAAAATATTTGCACCGGTTAAAGTTACTGTAAACACAGAAATTTTGAATTTATTTATGAAAATAGTCTTATGGAATAATTTTTTGATTCTTAGAGACAAAATCAAATTTGAATTAATCAATACTTTCATTAAAAATTTACGATTTTTTACAATTAGATGTATGATATAAGAAGAGATTATTAAAAAATAAACTAAAGAATGGCACTTTATTTTAAAATAATATTCTTCAATTAATAATGAATTTTCAAAAAGAGTAATAATCACAAATTAATATCGTTGATTTATATTGGGTGTCTCATACTTAATCGGCCACTTTTTGAGGTTTTCAAAAATCTTCTGGACACTCTTTTCTGAGAAATGATTTTTTTTTTTTTTAAATGTATCATAAATTAAAAAAATTATGAGTTAATGAGATTTAATTTATATAATGTAAATGTTTTAAATTCTTTTGAAGTTTTTTTTTTTTTTCAAATTGAAAGAAGCATACATTTTGAAAATCAACTTTTTTTCCAAAAAAAAAAAAAAAAAACTATGATAGCAAAAAGGAAAAATTTTAAACAATGTATTTTTTTCTTGATAGAATATTCATAAACAAAAATAAAAAAGATCCAATTGGTGCATTTCTTAAAAAGTTATGAGCATTTAAAAAAAAAAAAATTCATGGACTCATTTTTTATCAGCCTCAGAAACAAAAAAATTCGAAAAGTTAACCTTTTAAAGAGGTTGATTAATTATGAAATGTCCCATATACTTTTTTTTATGCAGGTTGGGATGTTATCATACGGTTCTCAGTGTAATCAACAGTTGCCGTCAGTATTTATAAATGTTCAAAACTATGCTAGGTGGATCACTGAAAATTCTTGAATTTGCTCAAATGGTCAATTTGATTTTCATTGATAAAATCTCTCTTTTATATTTCATAAAAATGTTTCAATACAACAAAGAAGCAAAGAAGTCCTCGTAGCAGCTACACAACTACCAGGATGAATGTTAAAAATTAGTCTTTAAGTAACATAAATTATATAAAAAATTGTTTCTCTTTATATGTTAGCATAGATTGTTTATACTATATTTATTTTATTTTATTTCATTACCAAAATTGATACTTGTAAGTTGAAAGGGATGTAAAAGGCCATGCAGGCCACATTATATGAAAATAAACTACTACACTACTATAAAAATGTTTCAATTATTTTCACTGTAGTGCTCATCGAAGAACTTTGTTCATTCCTAGTTTGAGATATCAATAAAACGTATAATTTAAAAACATCATTTTTATTTTTCTTAAATAATAAATTTAGCTTTTATAAAAACCTATTAATTTAATTGATAGAATTTACATAAAAATTTTTTAAATTCTTACTCATTAATAAAAAATAATTAAAATTAATTTTTTTAAAAGCAATATAAATTTCATCTCTATGAAACATAATTAATTTAATAAACAATTTTTGGTTATTAAAAACCAATCGTTAGTGAACGAAAAATTAAACATCTACTTAGTTATAAAAATACATATCATTTTTTAATAATTAAATTAAAAATTATTTTTCTTTATTTTTAAATATATTTAAATATTTCCCACGAGTCATTTCTTTGGCTTCTTCTAGGCCTAATTGATAAGCCAAGTCATGGAGTTTTTTAACTTCTGCTATGAGGCTGGTTACCGGTAAATTCCCTAGTTCTGGAGAAATTAAAATTACAATTAGAAATAAACATTCGCAATAATAATTACCAAATTTCCTTATTTTTTAATTGTCGTATCAATTTATGGAGATGAATAATTGAAACTTACGATGTAATTGAGCCATATCATCAGTACTAATTCCCGATGCAGACCATGACGATTGCTCGCTTGGTGATAAATTCTGAGCAATAAATTCATTAACACCTGGAACTTGATCAATTGCTGGTAGAAAATATTATTTTCATAACCGTAATAAAAAATTAATAAAAAAACATGAAAAATAACTCACTTTGTTCCGGCCACAGCTCCGGTGATGCTCGATCAAGTTTTTCCAAACTCATTAGACTGTCGTCAAGACACGTAACATCTATTTTTTTAATTGTCACAATAAAAATAAAATGATTAGTATTCGATACTAATAATAACAGTTATTAAATATAGCGAATTTAATTATATTTAAATAAGACAGACTCCTAAATGTGTATATTCTTGACAGTAATACTTATATGTATACAGAGTTGTGTATACATATATATCTTATATACATATATATGTAACCCATAAATAATTGTCAATATTTAGTACACGAAATTCAAGAAATAAAAAAGTAATTATTTGTTTTAAAAAATCAAAGTTACCTAATGCTATTATTTACCTGTTTGATCAGTTTTTTTATTTTTTGACGACATTTCAACGATGTTTAATATTTAACTAGAGGATTATTAATTATTAAATTTACAAAATAACTTTCATAATTATTATATAAAGAATTTAGGTTAAAATAGACGCGGATGTTTTCGCGGTTTTGAGATACTACAATTTCGATATCGTCCACTAGCTCGCTCTTGTGGCAAAAGATTCAATTTCATTTTACGACTTCTACTGTTTTGATTTTTAAAAATCAATCTAATAAAAAATATTGTTTAAAATTCGTTGTTTATATTCATGATTATTTTATAATTATTAAGAATTGGTGTAAAATTAAAAGTATAGACAATGACGGCTTCAAAATTTTGATTTTTCATTTCTATGTATTGATTGTCGAAAAATAAGCAGTCGATGTTAAAAGCTATCGATTGTTGTATTTTGTAATCGAAATTTTTTAAAAGACCAATGTTTTTGAATTAATAAGGAGGTCCTTTCGCCGCCAATGTAAAATAAAAAAAAAAAAGATTATGAGTAAATTCAATTTTTTTCTAATAGTTAAGGTCTTTATTTATTTAATAGTGAGGTTTAAATTATACTTTACCGGACAAATTTTTGAAAAAATAAAATTTTTAAATGTTAGTATTTGTTCAGAGTCTTACGAGAAAGTCAGACGTTTGCAGTATTTCTCGAATTATACTATCAGTCATAGATTAAATGAAGTAAAAAAAAACTAAAAATTAGATTTTCGAAATATTCAGGTTTCTTTTTTTACAATAAAATATATCAGTTACCGAGATATTTATTGAGAAATTAATATTTAAAAATCACAAAAAATTCTCAAGTAAACTACGTTAAAATGGAGTCAAAACATTTGGCAACGGTGCGTAGCGCGCGAGCTTCAGACCATTCAACAAATTCAAACTAATTTATTTATTTACACTGACAAAAAAACTTAAACGAATTTTCTCATAATCTAATATTTTTTATTTTACATTGGCGGCGAAAGGACCTCCTTAAACGTGGTTAAGGTTATATTATGCAAATGAAAATGTAAACAACCGAAGTACAGCGTTGCCAAATCACGGACAGGTTACTAGCAGTTGATTTGAAAGAGTCAAATTAATTTTTGTATTTAACTATTTTTTTTTTTTATTTTCAAAATTTCAACGATTAATGCCTCATATACTATTTATTATTTAATTTTAGGAATTTTTATGGGTTTCTTTTTTTAATTTATCGTATATTGACTACTACAATTGTTTTGACTCAACTGGAGCGAAAGGATTTCCTTGTTAAGGCCCAGTTTTTCAATCCGAGATAAAATTTTATCAAGGATAAAATTATTATTGCCAGTATATATCTATATATGATATATATAGATATATTTCATCATTGGATGAAATTTATGAAAATTAATTTAGTAGATATTTTATAATTTTAGGAATTTTTTTAACAAATAAATTTTGTCAAAGAAAGTGAAAAAAAAAATTAAGAAAAAAATTTCAGAGTAATTTATTTATAACAAAAAAATTAAAAAATTGTCAAGCAACTGCTAACTTTAATGTCATATGAAATTTTATCATGGATTGAAAAACTGGCCCTAAGAAAAATGTTATTATTTATTCGTTAAAAGTGAGATAGACAGCAGGCAATTTTGTGTTTTTTTCTAAATTTATTAACTTCTTTATAAAAAATTTAAATTGCTCATAAATAAAATGAAAATATTGCATGTAAACATTCTATACATATTTTTTATAATTGTCTGTTTAAAAAACAAAAAAAAAATCAAATGTATCTGAATTTCGTATCATTATGAAATACATAAACAATAACAATAATAATGATAGGTGATATATAATATTGACTCAATGTAGAAAATCAAAACAATCACATTAAAGTTAGCAGTCATTTGAATATTTTTTAATTTTTTTTAACAAACAAATTTCTTCCAAAAAATTATTTTCAAAAAATTGTATTTTTTATTTTTTTAAATTTCTACAAGTCAATTTTTTTTGCTCCAATCTATTTATTAAAAAATTTATCAAAATTATTAAATATCAGCTAAATTAAGTTTCACATCAAAACAATTTATGTAAATTAATTTAGCGTATATTTAATAATTTTGTAACAAATAAATTATGTCAAAAAAAAAAAAAGAAATTTGAAAAAAAAAAAAAAAAAATGCAATTTCCTAAAACAATTTTTTTGTTAACTAAAATAAAAAAAATTGTTTAGTGACTGCTAACTTTAATGTCATAAACAATTTTTAAATTATCAATAAATAAATTGAACCAAAAAACAATAAAAATTCTGATTAATTAATTACTTTGCTAATTTATAAAAATTAACAGTATCTCTAACATTAAAATTTTTGTTTTTATGAGATTTAAAAATCTAAATAAAACCTCTTGACAATAATAGATTTTATTTCTCTTTAAAACACTGGAACAATTACCATTTTAATTAATTAGTGATAACACTGAAAAAAAAATATAAACATAATTCATAATAAACGTAAAATTTTATTTAACAACCATTCAACTTACAACATGATTTTAAAATTATTTACACATAAACAATACAATTATCCAGTGTTTACTTGCTCCGAAACTTTGTCACGTTTGAGTTTTTTAGTAAGTTCTCTCTGTTGTTCTAATAAATAAACATTTTCTGCCTTTCGACGTTCCTGGCGTTCGATGTCTCGAACTACACCGAGATGAAGTTGTTCTCTAATATTTAAAAAAACAACAATTAAAATCAACATAACCCTACATAAAACATAAACATTAGATGAATATTTTTATTTACCTATCATCATGTTGTTTATAATGAACATAGCCAATTATACCGACAGTCAATGTACAGCTACCAAATAAAACAAGTCTTGATGTGAATGACATTTTTTATAACATGTAATTTCTTAATAAAATTATTTAATTTTTTGTCATCATTGCTTTAGGATAACTTTTCTTTTCCCACTCTCTGCTTATTACTTAGTTTAATGTTGGACCGTTGCCAGTTATGTGCATTTCTATATACACGCGCGCAATAATTTAAACATTTAATTGCACATAAAATAATTGAATAAATTCAACAGGATTGTTGGGTATAAAAAAATAGAAAGGATCCTGAGATACTTCATTTTTTGTCAGTAATGGATGTACATATTTTTGAGGTAGTGTACTCAAATTTTTTAATTTTTATAATAAATCAATTACAATATAAAAAATGTCCACTAATTATTTTTTTTTTTATTTTTACAAATGCAATTTTTGTATTAAATTTTTTCATAATAATTTATTTACTAAAAATTTTCCAATTTTAGTTATCTTCAGTGTCTTGTAAAAATTTGGTCTTTTCAAAACTGGTATGAAAAAAAAAAGTTCATAAATAATATCCCAGCGTCACAAAAAAAAAAAAATGTTGACTTTTTGGTAGATTTTACTCAACAAGAAGTCAAAAAAATTAATAATTGTCAAGTTAATTTCAATAAAACGTTAACAAAAAAAAATTGTGCTGCTTGCGATTAAACTTTCTAAAAAAATTATAGAACATAAGTAACAGACTATTTTTGATAGGTCATGTTAATTAGTATTCAATCTTTCATGCTCATTTCAATAGAAAATCATATTGACGGTCTAATTAGCAATTTGTCTAACTCCTTATTTTTTAGAGGGTAATTTTTTAACATTTTGATGTAGCAATAATCTAATTATCAATTATTTTAATGATTTAAACCTATATATTATAATTTTATTAGATATTAATAATATTAATTAAATGGTTTTTTAAAGTGTAAAAAGTAAAATAATAAAAAAATTAATATTTATTATGACACTGAAGTTAGCAGACGCCTAAAAATTTTTGATTTTTGTTATTTATTAAAATACAACTAAAAAGATATTTTCAAAAAATTGCACTTATAGCTTTTTAAGTTTTTTACATGTGAAATTTTTTTTTAATTTTTTAATTGAAATTTTTTCAATAAAAAATTTCTAAAAAGTTTGAAATGTCAGCTTACTTTATTTTCATTATTTATTAGGTTCTCTTTCAAATTAACTACAGCACTCATAAAATCGTCGAATTCTATTGGCTGTAACATTTTGACGCTTGCTTGAAAAGTAACCGTTAACTTTTATTTTATCAACGCTCATATAACTAAGAAAATCCCAACTGATATAATGTAATACTTAAATATGTATATCGTTTATATTGAATATGATGATATCTAAAAGTTGTTTAAAATAAGAAACAAAAGAAATTCAAATCGATATTTTATAATCAGTATAAGTCAATTACACAATGTAATTTTTTTTTTGCTATTGTACTTCCTACTTACTGTAAGTAATAACACTTTAATAATTTCATTTTTCATATTAACTCATTTTATTTTTAAATAGAAGAAAAAAAATTTCTGTATCTAACGCTCTATACATTTTAATTGCAAAATGTAATCATTGATTTGGAAAATTTAATTTTTTTCACAAAATAATTTATTTAATTTAAAGAAACATTTGTAAATTTTTAGATTTGAGACATGAATATGATGGCAAGTTAAAAATTTGAAAATAAATAATTATTGTGAGACAAAGATTAAAAACTTTTTTAAAAATTTAATGATATGAATTTTATTATATATTTATTCATATATTGGTTGTTATTTTTTTAAAAAAGTTATGTTCTATGTAAAATTATGTATAAATAAAAATTAATACTATGCAACGTTTTGTATGAGTCATAATTGGTATCAGATTAAATTACTAAATTTTATTGCAGCACAGAAATAAAACATTCTTGAAATTGTATTAACTATAGTGATTATTTGAAATAGTTATATTTTTAAAAATGAGTTTAAAATAATATCTTTAAAAATTAAAAAACTAATGAACTATTTTTTTCAGATTCATTAATAAATTTGTTTAATATAATATAATTATTAAAGTACTTAATTGAAATGGATGATAAACTGCAAAAAGAATTAAAGATTGCAGAACAATCTCCTCGAAGAGACTTATGTGAGGAGTTTTTATACGAAATTTTTCAATGGGATCCACTATGGCTCGATGATAAAAAATATGAAGAGACACCTCCGCCTGTTATCGATTCAATCGAAATGATTCCGACGAAATTAATTTATTCGACTTTTGAAGAATATCGCGATATTATGTTTCCCTTTCTGAGGCACGAATTTTGGTTTGTTTTGAAAGAAGATTTTATCGAAGAAATAAAAAAAAAAAAGTATTTAAGCAAATTTAATATATAATTATAATTATTCACGCCAACTTCAACTAATTAATTATTAATCTACGAATTTACAGATATCCAAAAGCAGTAAAAGCTCATATTAAGCAAAATTCATATTCTTCTTGGTCAGTTAATAATGATGACTATCATAAAATGTGTGAGTTTAGTATAATAACTACAATAATAAATTATGAGAACAATGAAAATAAATACCCCAATCGTGGAGACTTAGTTATAGTAAAGTCTCTAACTGATAAAAGACCAGTAACATTTGGATTTATATCAGACGTTGGTTTAAAAGGAAGTAAGCATGTGCCAATATTTTTTTGTGTTAATTTATAAATGAAGAAATATATTAATTTTTATTTGACGTTTAGAAATAAACGTTACAGTAACTTACACATTGAAGAGTAAATTCTGTTCAAGACTACAATTACCAAGCCAAGTTGAGCTGACTACTGTGACATGGGCTTCTGCCCATATAACTCTTATCGAATCATTGTGTTATATTCCTTGTACAGAATTGATGAAACCAATTTTACAGCCAGAAGTTGAATTCTTCAAAATTTCGTCAGTTTTAAAAAAAGTTGAAACTGCAACCAAGGTATATTTTTTGTAGCAATTATTTGACTGTTTAAACAATTCCAAGTATAAAAACTGTTGCATTTTCAGGAAGTTCTCAATGAGAAACAAGCAGAAATCATGTCTAGAATAATAGAAACCGTAAAGATGAAATCTTTGGGAATATTTCTTATTCAAGGACCTCCCGGTTGTGGAAAATCATCGGTTATCAAAAACATTATTGCGACTATTATGAAAAATGGAAATGAAAAGAGAGTACTAGTGTGCGCACCTTCAAATAAGGCTATTGATGAATTAGTTTTAAAATTATTAGATATTCAACCTCTTCTTGAAGGTAAGAATTAAATTATGTACATGTTACTATTATATTTTTGTGATATGAATTTATTTCATTAACATGCACAGTAAAAAATTTTGCGTCATTGCGTCAAAAAACTTGGTGTTAAAAATTTTTGTGTTAAATATTTAACATAAAAATTTTTAACATAGAATTTTTTAACGCAATAACGCAAAATTTTTTACTGTGTGTAGAGCAAAAAGTACCATTCAAAATTGTACGACTTGGACGAGAAGATAAAATGCATGCATCAGTTAAACGTATCTATTTATCGAATTTACGATACAATGAGAGAACGGTAAATATTTTATTCTTCCTTGATTTATTTATTTAAAGTTAATACACTAGTGTTTTATAATTTTTCATAAATAAATATTCAAAAAATAGGATAAATTTTATTACTATCCGCGTCGTAAAAATGAAAAAAGAGATGCATCATATGAAGAATTTTTACTTAAAAAAGCAAATATTATTACATGCACCCTGACATCAAGCTACACCAGTTATCGGATGAGATCAGTTTTTGGGTAAAATTTATTTTATAAAATTATTGTAACATTATTCATCAAAAACAAAATAATAATAATAATAATAATACTAAGCAATAATTTAAATAATTAGTCGAAGGTTCAAAGACAAATTACCATTCTGCATCATCGATGAAGCAGCACAAGCAACCGAATTACTCACACTAGTGCCGGTAATGTTGGACATAGATAAATTGATTTTGGTAGGGGATCCTCAGCAATTACCTCCAACGGTTCTATCGCAGGTAAATTTAAATAGTAAAAATTTTATTAATTTACTTAATCTATTCAGTTACTGATTTTCACAGAAAGCAAAAGATTACGGCTATGATTCATCTCTCTTTGCAAGAGCTCAAACTATATTTAATGATGAACCAAAAGAGAACCCTATTGTTATGCTAGATACTCAGTACCGAATGATGGATTCGATTTCTCAATGGCCCAATCGCTATTTTTATAAGGGTCTCATTAAAAATGCAGCTTCAGTCGCACCATTGGATTTTTGCAACTACAAATTATTGAACCATTCTTTTATCCAAGTAGAAGATGCTCATTCTAATCCAAAAGAAGCTATACTTGTAGCTAATTTAGTTAGTAAGTTGGTGGAAGAAATTAAATTAAAGTACCAGGATAGAAAAATAAGCATCGGCGTTATTACACCGTATAAAGACCAGTACAAATTGATTAATAGCATAATAAACCCATAGTAAGTGATTAAGATTAATAACTTAAGTAATAATTAAACCTATATAGGTTTAATTCAAGAAAATTAGAAAGTTGTTTTTATAAATAATTGGGTTTACATTTTTTAGCAAGAAAAAGACTCAACAGAAGCCTCAGAAAATTTTGAAAAGACAAAATCAGCAAAATGATGAAAATATTATTGTCAAAGAAAAATGTGAAAATGTAGACAGAGAAAATACTAACGAGAAAAATTCAGAAAATTATGTAGCTGATAAAGATGCGCAGGAAGAAAAATTTTTGGAAGAAAATGAAAAAAATGATAACAAATTTGTTGAATTAAATGACAATACTGATGATCAACTCGATGAAGATTTTGAAATTGATGGGTCAGAAGATAGTAGAGGTGTAAAAATTTTAAATAATACAGAAAAAGTAATTTGTGCTGACGAAAAGAAAACTGAAACGAAAAAAAATAAAGAGAGAAATCAAAACAAAAATAAATGTAAGAAAGGTAAAAAGAACAGTGTTAATGATGATAAGAGCTCTGAAAAAAAAGAAGATGAAAAACCACAAAAAATTCAAGTCAATACAGTAGACAGCTTTCAAGGGTCGGAATGTGATATTATTATTATGTCATGTGTAAGGAGTGAAGGCATTGGATTTGTTAAAGATCCGAATAGGCTTAATGTAAGTCTTACTCGTGCTAAACATTCTTTGATAATGTGTGGAAATTTTAATACTTTCAGGGTGAGTAATTATTTCAGACTTTGTTTAATTTTATAATTTGTACGCTAAAATAATAGTTAATTTTGCTTTCAGCGTGATGAAATGTGGGAAAGCCTTTTAAACGACGCTCAATCTCGAGAAGTATATTTCGACTTAACGAAAGATGATGAGTTAAAATCTATTATAGAGCATGTAATTATTAATCGCACTAGCTTATGATTATTTTCTGGTTAACGTTGTTATAAAAACGATAATAATTGTTATTACAATAATATTACTCTATGTACAATTTTAATAATATTTGTATCTACTTAAGTTACATTATTTGCTTGTTGTAAAACATTAAACGCTGCAATAAATTTCATCATCATTATTTGTTCATTAATATATAATAAAAATATTGACAAATCGTATAAATAGAATTATTGTATATAGTAAGTCTAAATAAAAATAGACTAAAAAAGCTGTGAAAATAATACTTAATCCTTCCTGTGAAAAAATAAATAAAAAATATCAGTTTTAATATTAGGCTCTCTTCTGTATGAGAAATATATCAGGAAAATCACGAGTGGAACTCTTGGGACCTTGGCAATAACACCAATTTAAATTATACATATATACTTAAGGAACTTGAATTTTTGTTCATTATAAAAATAAATTTTTTTTTAATCTATATTTTATGTCATACAAAATCTTGAAGAACCTGAAAATGTGTTCTTGGTTTGTAAATTCTACGGCGCATACTTTATTCAGGCGATTCTATTGTTTTTATGCGTGAACGCTGCGATCTTCTATTATTTGACGTCATTTTTTAAGTCTTCAACGATACCTGGTCTCGGTACTACAGTCATTAGCTGTAAGAAGAAAGAGCATCAAGCTAACTAAACGTCCTCAGTGCACATTCATCATTTGAACAGAAACCAAGTAGGCTTATAATTAATATCAATCGATGCAATGGACAGTTTATATTATTAATTGCACGTAAGTAATTGTTGGGTTACATTTATAAATAAATTTTTAATTTATCTAAAAAAATTATGTATTCATTTATTTTATAAGCGCTATGAGTTTATTGTGCAGTATAGGGTTAATTATTTCTTTGTTTTAGACTTTTTTTTTTTTTTTAATAAGATTTCGCGGTAAAGCTATCATTACGTACCTAAGCATTGAAAAAAAAAAATACTATTAACTCCTTATCTTTACGTACTAGATGAAGTTTTTTTTTAATCCAATTTTTTAATATTAATCATTTATTTTATCATGATTTTCATGATAAGAACCTAGTAAAAATAATGTCTGATATATTGTATTTTTTAGAAACAATTATGTTTAAATATAATGTTGGTTTTTTATCAATTTTTTTTTTTCAATTAAATAAGCATAAAAATAATTTAAAAAAAAGTACTTTTTGCAAGTTTTTAAACATATAAAAAAATAGCTTACAGAAAGATTTTTTATTCAAAATAATTTTTACTGAGATTCTTATTAGAATATTTTTTTACAAGCAAATTTTTCTAGAAATATTTTTGAAGATTAATAATTTATAATAGTACAATTGAAAATTACCCACTTATTCTTTTACATCCATCATAAATAATAAAATTATGTATTATAAATAATCAATACATTCAATGCCATTTTTAATTGATTATCTTACTTCAACTTACAGTCATTAAATACTTATTCTGTTTTTCAGATTCCAACAGAAAAATTGCATCTAAATTATTTGAGAAGAATATAAAGTTTTTAAATTTATATATCTCGCATACAAATGATCATTAATTTTTAAATTTTAAAATGGATCACAATTTTCGAAAAAATTTCAAGAGATTTAATACATCGGAAAGCGATCGTTCACATTATCGTATGCGAGAGCATGCATCACGTTTATCTAGAATGAAATCATCGGTTAGGTATGTTATTAGTAATAACTTATTACTATTAGTAAATGAAATCTAAAACCACTTTATAACTTTATATAAACAAAACAATGGTGAATTTGTTTATTTTATCGAGTCTCAATAATCATCTAAATGTTTAAATTTCAGTTCAGCCCAGAGATTTACTCCAAGAGAAAATGAATCACTTGAAAAATTACGTAATGAATTTTTCTCTACTATTTTTGAATGGAACCCTGCGTGGCTCAAAGATAAACAATTTGAAAACACTCCACCGGATGTTGTTGATTCTATGGAAATGATTCCTACCAAATTAACATATTCAGATTATGACGAGTATTTAAAAATTATGCTGCCTCTTTTAATTCATGAATTTTGGTTCACTTTGAGAGAAGATTTCATGGAAGACAGAAAAAAAAAGTATGAAAAATTTTTTAAATTAATAAACGCAAAAATAAAGTTTAATAATTGCAAGTTAGCTTTTGAAACCACGAGAAAGAATTACGTATACACAAAAAATTGAAATTGATGTACAATATTAACAAAAAATTTGTTTATTTAAAATTTTTGCGTATACTTGATGATAATTTATTTAAATTATTTGAATCAATAGATATTGTTACATTAGTTTTAATTAATTCTTGGTATTTATTAATTTATGATGATTTTAATGAATTATTTTAGACAAAAAAAAGTTAGGACTGACCTTAAAGAAAGTAGTTGTGAGTCCATTTCAGTTAAAAGTGATTTAGATAACAAAATTGTTCGCCTGAAATTAAAAGCTGCAGTAAACTTTTCAATTAAATCGAAAATAGAAGACATATTTCCAAGTCGGGGTGATTTGGTCGAAATTCAATACCCAGGATGCGAAAGAACTCAACTGGGGTATGTGGAAGAAGTTGACTGTAAACGTCCCAGGTGTAAGTTTAATAATTCATAGAATTATTTTTTTATCATAGTTTATACATTTATTTTATCAATTTCAACGAACTGTTTTATCATTGCTATGTTTATTTTAAATAAAAGTAGTTGTTAGTAATACATTCATTAAAGTATACAATATGAATTTAAAAATATGTACTACAGTGCTTTCTATTCAGTCTATTCAATATTTGAAGATTAAAACTCCACTTCTATTAAAATAACTGATTTTTCAAAAAAAAAAAAAAAAACATTATTTTAACAATGATGAAAAAATTTTACTTTTACGTTAGTTTAATTAACTCGGTATGATTGAACAATAAATAAAAGATCAGAAAAAATAGGTTTTTTTTTTCTTTTTAGTCACTGCATCTATTCTAATTAATAGTAATTTAAAAAGCACCAGAAAAAAAAAAGATAATAAATTAACTTAAATTTAGAGTCTCGGAATCGTGAAGTTTTGTCACTCTTCAAGCGACTTTCTCGACATTGATTTATAGCTACTTTACATTTAATTGGTGTCGGAGTTAATAAACTTTAAAAAATTAAACCTGTCTCCATAGTTGCAAATTATTCATTTAATTATATAATTTGCAACCCTACACTGATAGAAGGATTTATTAATTATTAATAATTTGATTTATTTGAAGATAATAATTTAATTTATTAAATTTTAATAAATATTTTTTAACATTTAATAAATATTTATTTGGGAGAAAAGTACATTTATTAATATTTAATAAATAATTTATTAACTGTTAATAAATATTTATTAAATCCCATGATGTTAAAAAATCATTTATTAACAGTTAATAAAGCTTATTAAATATTAACAAATTCTTTTATCAGTGTAAAGATTTATATAACCATCAAGAAGATTATAAAGTAATTGAATTAATATTCCATTTAATTATTAAATTTCAAATAATGCATGAAATCATATTTTTTTTTTTCAGCTTCAAATATTACACAAACAAATGTTAGACCAGTTAAATTTTTTTAAATTTACAAATAAATTTTTGAAAAATTTTCAATTGAATGTTACATATTTATTTATATTAATTCGTTAAATGTCATACTTATTAATATTGAATATTTCAGGTGACCTATTCAATCATAAATCATTACCGACTTATTTAACATATGATGTAATTACTAAATCTCTACCACAATCAAGCCTGTCGACTACTTTTGAATTAAAAACGGTTACGTGGATTTTATCTCACTTAACGCTCCTTGATGCATTGGGCTACATTGATCAATCACCTCTCATTGAATCAATTTTAAAACCAGATGTTGCATCTTACGAATTATCATCATCACTCTACCCTGCGTTAGTTGTGACAAATGTACGTAGATTACACTTTTCAGTTAGAATACCTCACAGTTCTAACTAAGCTGTCTTTTTAGGAAAATCTCAATCCAAAACAATTGGAAGTCATGTCCCGAGTAGTGACTACAATTGAAAGAAGAACTCCTGGAATTTCCTTATGTCAAGGCCCACCGGGAACTGGAAAATCGACAGTTATTAAAAATATCATTGCTACTACGTTAAGTCAAAAACGAATTAGTACAATATTACTTTGCGCTCCATCAAACAAAGCTATTGATGAGCTAGTTGTGAGATTACTGGAGATAAAACCACTCATGGAAGGTAAATGTTGAATTATTTTATTTTTATCATAAGTTAATCTAACTTTAATTTTTTAGCACAAGACATTCCCTTTGGAATTGTACGAGTAGGCCGAGAGGAAAAAATCCACGAAGATGTTAAATGTGTTTCCTTATCAAGGCTTAAATCTAGAAAAATAATGGTGAGTTTTTATCAAATTAAAAAAAAAATTATTAAAATTTTAGTTAAATAAATTTTTAAATTTCGCTTCATCTATTTTTATTCCATAAGAATTCAAAAAATTTAATTATAATAATCTTCTTTAATTTTTTTTATGAACAAATATTTTTGTAAATATACATTTAAAATATAAATTATGAAAATAAACTTTTTCCTGCTCTTAAGAAAAAAAATCCTAAATATCATAACTAAAAATTTTTGATAGTAAAAAATAATAAATTAAAATTTATTTGAATGGGAAAAAATACATCATTAACATATATGATTTTTTCATAATTATCAATAGGCTTTCGAAGGTAAATATAGACCCAAAGTCGAACAGACAGAAGAGCGTATTCTGAAATCAGCCAATATTATTGCGTGTACTTTAACTTCCTGTTACACGAGCTACCGTATGAAAAGTGTTTTTGGGTAAAATGCTACAAATAAATTTTTTTAATTAATAATTTATTAGAATTAAAAGTACATTAATATGGTAATTTTTAGTTCTGGTTTGAAAAACATACCGATTTGTATTATTGACGAGGCAGCTCAAGCAACTGAATTACTCACATTGGTACCGTTGTTACTAAATATTGACAGATTAATTTTAGTAGGAGATCCTCAGCAATTGCCTCCAACTATCTTATCTCAGGTAACTATAAAATACTTGTAATAATGAAACTACTGTATATTTGAAAATTTATTAAACTTTTTTTTTTATAGAAAGCAAAAGATTACGGATACGATTCTTCGCTCTTTTCTAGAGCTCAGAATTTGTTTGAACATGAATTAAAAAACCCTATTGTCATGTTGGACACGCAGTATCGGATGATTGATGCAATTTCCCAGTGGCCAAATCGTTATTTTTATAACGGTGCCATACAGAATGGTGCTTCGGTTACGCCATTGAACATTTGTAGCTATAAATTATTTAACCATTCTTATTCGCAAGAAGTTAATGGTCATTCTAATCTATGTGAAGCAAAGCTTGTGGTTAAAATCGTCAGAATGTTCACCGATAAAATTAAATCAAGTAATTGTGATAAAGAAATCAGTATTGGCGTAATTACTCCTTATCAAGATCAGCGTAAACTTATTAATGTATTTCTCAGTCAAGCGTAAGTAACTATTAAAGATTTTTTTTTTTTATTAAAAATAATTTATCAATAATTTTTATATTTATTTGTAGTGAAGTTAAAAAAAAAATAAAGAAGCGAAAGAACAAAAAGCGAAATCGTAAACAAGAAAATGACGATGAAGGTAAAATTGTTAAAGAAAATAATAATGGTGAGATGAAAAATGATGAAGATAATAGTGATGAGGAGAACAGAGACATTAGTAGTGAAGAAATGGATAGTAAAAAAGAATCTTTTGATGAAGATGATGAAAATGACGATGAAAATTGTGAATCAATCGCTGAAGAAGAGATTCGGAAAAAAGAAGAAAAAGTAATTGAAAAAGATGAAAAAACAGTTTTTGAAACCAAGGATGATAGTAAAGATCAGGATACTTTGGAAGAAATTGATTTTGAAAAGATTAATATACAAGAAGAAATAGTAGAAGACTTTGAAAAAATTATTTGCGAGAAAGAAAGTGATGAAGAGAATGTTAATTGTAATGAACAATCTAAAGAGGTAAAATCCAAGGTAAATAAAAAAGATAAAGAAAATGAAGAGGAGAAAGAACAAGCTGAGGCTACTATCAAGCTGAAACAAATCCAAGTTAATACAGTCGACAGTTTTCAAGGGTCGGAATGTGATATTATTATTATGTCATGTGTAAGGAGTGAAGGCATCGGATTTGTTAAAGATCCAAATAGGCTCAATGTAAGTCTTACTCGTGCTAAACACACTCTTATAATGTGTGGAAATTTCAATGCTTTTAGAGTAAGTATTTATTTTTATTGTGGTAAATTTTGTATCGTCATTATGACAGTATTTATGATGATATGTAAATAATTATTTTTTTTGCTACTGTAATTGATAAATTTTGTCTACTTTCAGAGAAATGAGATGTGGGAAAATCTGTTAGACGATGCTCAATCTCGTGGTGTTTATTTTAATGTTACAGAAGAAAATGAATTGAAAACTATTTTAAAGCACGTAATTATTGAACCCCGATAAGATTGATATTGAAATACTTGCTAAGATTTAATTTTTTGTTTTATACTGTTGTCATGATATTTAAGATAGTAGTAATTCTGTTTACTTAATTATATCTTTTCTTGTTTTTCAAGTTTTATTTCACTCATTAAATGTAAATTGTATTTTAACATCTAAACACAATAAATTAACAGACATATTTTTATTTTAATAATATTCATCCATGTGTATATTTATTATAGGGCTAGTCTTACTTTTTTTAGTGATAATTATTTAATTTCATATAAAAATAATAAATAGTGGAAGAAATATTTAAATAATTTTTTTAATCCCTTTATTGGATTTAAATTAGACTAAATCAAAAGATATTAATTTTTTGAGTGATTTTTCTTGTTTGAATCACTATTAGCATTTTTAATCTACGAAATTTATAAATGATGGAATTAATTTTTATATAACAAAATTAAAGTTTATTTTGGAGTAGCGTTGAATGTCAAGTACTTTCATATAATTTATATTTTATAAATAATTATATATTGTATATTATCAATTTTTTTCATTTGCTTCTCCAATATCTCTTATACGAGTTTTGATTAAATCTAAAACGGAACGTTCTTTAGGAGTCGTAATAATTTTACTGCTGAAAACAATAACTTTTTCAATGGCTTCTAGTGCTTCTTTTGCCATTGTTTTAATATTATTATTATTATTATTATCATTATCACCATTTGTTTTATTTACTTTGGATATTATTTTTTCTGTCATAAACTCATTATCGCTATGATCATTTTCCGTTTGCAATATCAGAGAATTTTCTTTCGTATCTAAAAAAAAAAAGCCATGCAATTATCGTAAATGACAATTTTCTTAAAATCTGTATAATTAGATAATAAAAAATAAACACCTGTTTTTGTGTGCGTTTTCTTTGGAGATTTTTTTTTTGTTTCAGATGGCTTTTTGTTTTGAAATGGGGAACATACTTGGCCTAAATGCATAAATACCAAAAAACAATTTTAAGTCACGATTTTTTTTTAATATTTCTATCATTTATTTATTTAATAACAATAAAAATACCTTTATTGATTTTTGTCTTCTTTAAGGATTTTTTATTTTTTGTCGTAACCTGCTTGTTTACTTGAGATGCTGAAACTATTTGATCGACATTGACTATCACAGCACGTATATTTTCAGCCTGTGTTTTTCTTAAATCGTCATTTTGATTTTTTGATGCGTTTTTAATTTTTTTCAGGGACGGCTCGTCCAATAAAGCTGGTAAATTTTTATAATTTGTTCTTTTGTTAGGTTTCTGCATTTTTTTATTCAGCTTGTAATTTATAACCATTTCAGAAACAATGAGTCACCAGCCAACTATCATGACATTTGTATATTTGTAATCATATTTATTGTTTATGATGACGTTTTCTCACATCAAATCACAAGATTCAATAATTCCAATCTCATATAAAATTTTGATGTGCTAATTATAACTATTACCTTCAAATTAATCTCAACTATACTTTTACAGTGGAGCTTCTACAATTTTGACGACCCCTTCCGGTACTTTATAGTGGAAAATGGTGAAGAGTCATAGTTATAGAACAAAAAAGTTATCTAAACTTCACCGTAGTCTTAGGATTTTAAAGTTACTAGACTAGATCCGTCAATTCTTGTTGAAGGAGCTCGAAATGATGATCCTTTTAAAATTTTAGATAACGACCCTAAAGTATTTGAAAAACACAAATATGACCCACTGTAAAAAAATCATAGATATATATGAGCTGATGAAAATGAAGTTAGCCGACATTTCAAAATTTTTAGAAATTTTTTATTGAAAAAATTTCAATTAAACAATTAAAAAAAAAAATTGTCACATGTAAAAAACTGTGTCATATGAGCTGGAGACATTTAAGTGTGTAAAAAAGTTTTAGTAAAAATTTTCAATCTAATTTTTTAATTACTGAAAGAAATTAGAAAATACTAAAGTTAGCCGACGTTTTGAATTTTTAGACTTCTGCTTCATTTATTAAATTAGAACTAAAAAATATTTCTTTCGAATTGCACATACAGTTTTTCAAATTTTTTACAAATGAATTTTTTTTTTTATTTTTTTGTAATAATTTTTTCAATAAAAAAAAATTCTAAAAATTTTTAAATGTCGGCTAACTTAATTTTCATTAGTGTCATATGAGCTGGAGACATTTAAGTGTGTAAAAAAGTTTTAGTAAAAATTTTCAATCTAATTTTTTAATTACTGAAAGAAATTAGAAAATACTAAAGTTAGCCGACGTTTTGAATTTTTAGACTTCTGCTTCATTTATTAAATTAGAACTAAAAAATATTTCTTTCGAATTGCACATACAGTTTTTCAAATTTTTTACAAATGAATTTTTTTTTTTATTTTTTTGTAAAAATTTTTTCAATAAATAAAATTATAAAAATTTTTAGATGTTGACTACTTAATTTTCATAAGTAATTCAAATGAAAATTAAGTTAGCCGACACTCAACAATTTTTGATTTTTTTTATTAATTAAAAATTAGAACTAAAAAACTATTTTTAAAAAATTTCACGAATAACTTTTAACATTTTCTACATGTGAAAACTTTTGTTTTAATTTTTTAAAAATTATTTTTCAACAAAATAAATTATAAAAATTTTTAATTGTCAGCTAATTTAATTTTCATGTAATTCAAATGCTTTGATTTTTAACAATAATTCGATAATGATCAAGAATGACAAGAAGTGGACGATTATTTATCCTTAAATTTTCGATTTATTAATTAATCTCTTGTCAAGATTTTTTCATAAAGTTTGAATAAATATATTGTCGATATAAACCAATAATTTTATATTAAGAAATTTTCAAACTATATGTCTCTGAAAATTTAAAATTAAAAATTTTAATCAATAACCCTGTAACATAAAAATACCATAATTATATTAAATAAAATATGAAAATTGCAATATAATTCCATATGTATAATTATTTCTATTCACATCTAACTCCATATAATTGTTCAAGTTTATTTATTACATTACACAACATATTACTTTCAGGATAATCGAATTCTATGCAATAATAAATGTAGCTATTTTATAATTATAATTATAATAATTTTTAAAGGTAATTAAACTCATTATAATTAAACTTAAAAGGTAAGAAAATTTATTAATTATTAACACTGTTAAATATTTTTGTGTTGAATCTTAACTATAATTGGACTCTGTTATGCAATAGTGTGTTAAGTACATAGGATTTCCATAGCACTTAACACATTAATGCATAACAGTGTCCAATTATTAAGACTGTTTTTTCAAGTAAACTTAGTATTTATGGATATAAAATATTAGTTAATTAATAATTAGTATCAACTATTTATAGCAAATGAAGAAAAAATTCGAATTAATGGAAAATTACGTAAAATTATGCCTAAAAAATTAAAATAAGTTTATGCCTGAAGATATATTACTGAAAGTGGTGGTTGATCCACCATCAGACCTGTGTGCTCTTCTGTAATTAGCCCTATAAAGTACAGTGTCTGGTGTTATAGGTGTATTCATACTTCTAGGAGTGTTTATATTGGTTAATGGAGAATAAGTATCACATGGAGAAACTGTGTTGTAAGGGTTACTCGGGTTAACGAACGCAACTTTCCTGCCGAATCTTCAAAAAATTTCTTTTTAATTAAATTACTACAACATTAAAAATTTTCATTCTAAAAATACGTACGGATATTTAGGACGTTGATTCTGTGTAACATGACCTAAATTACTTGAAACAGCATTATCTTGTCGGAAAAAACTTTCAGGTTGAATGTATCTACCATCAGACGTAGCAGAGTTAGTAGCTGGTTGATAATGGCTTTGTTGAGTTGCTAATAACTCATTGATAGAAGTTGTGAGTTTTTGTTTCATTTGTTGAATTTTTAAAATTGTTTTACGTTGCTCCCAGAACATACGTTTCAATGTGTTATATTTTTCGGCCTAATTTATAGAAAAATAAAAATAATTAATATATATGACATTAAAGTTAGCAGTCACTCGATTACTTTTTAGTTTTTTTTAACAAATAAATTTGTTCCAAAAAATAATTTTTGAAAAATTGCATTTTTAATTTTTTAAAATTCCTACATGTCAATTTTTTTTTTTTATAAATTTTTGTGCTATAGTTTATTTGTTAAAAAAATTGTTAAAATTATCAAATATCTGCTGAATTAATTTTCATGACAGTAATAATTTTCTTGATTTATCAATTATTTAATTATCATTATCATTACTTGTTGTTCTAAAAGCTTTTCCGATATCATCATCTGATTAAATTGAAAATTGGCAACGTTAGCCATATTCTGCAAAAATTCATGACGTGGAGTGAATAAATAAACAATTGCTGGTGGTAGTGGTTCAGTTAATTCCACAGTCTGAACATCTGGTGTCTGGCACCACTGACATGTACTCGTTCCTTAAAAAATAAACATATTTATAAAATTATATGAGACTGAAGTTAGCAGACGTCTTAAAAATTTTTGATTTTTTTTATTAATTAAATTACAACTAAAAAGATATTTCTAAAAAATTGCACTTATAGTTTTTCAAGTTTTTTTACATGTGATAATTTTTTTTTTAATTGTTTAATTGAAATTTTTTCAATAAAAAATTTCTAAAAATTTTTAAATGTCGGCAAACCTCATTTTCAAAAAATTATTTGTTTCTAGAAAATGAACATAGCCCATAAATTTACCTGTACTTATGCATTGATGACAGAAGATATGGCCGCATTGTGTTAAATAAAAAGGTCGGTTGCCCGATCTCTTATTATAATAACATTTATTGCAAATAAGATGATTAATAAAGGACATAATAAATTTTTTTCTAATTTTATCTGATTTTGATTCTCGAATGGTTGAGTATGTTGATGCTTATAGATTAGAGTGAGTGCTATATAATATCGAATTTTTCATACTAATATTAAAAAAAAAACTATAGACAAAAAATAATAATTCAAAGTTGATGGCGCGCATGTAGATAGTTCAAAAAATTTTGGCGCTTAGTATTTTGGTTAAAAATATATGATATTAAAATTAGCCGACGTTTTTAATTTTTAAATTTTTTTTTTAATAATTAAATTAGAACAAAAAAATATTTTTAAAAAATTGCACTTACAGTTTTTCAAGTTTTTAACAAATGACAATTTTTTTTTCTTTTTTTTGTCGTAATTTTTTCAATAAAAAAATTCTTTTTAATTTTTAAATATCAGCTAACTTAATTTTCATTAAAAATATTTTACAATTTTTTATACACACTTTTTTTCTGTATTCAAAAATTACCGCTCGTCAAGATTAATTGACAATAAGACAGTAAATAAATATAAAAAAATTAACGTACAGATTTTTTTTAATGCATATCAGGTATAAACAATAAAATTATTTTTAATTTTAAATTCAAAGACTCATTTTTCTCATGATAAAAAATCAAGCAATTTTACAACAAACATAACTTACATTAAAAATAGTATTTTAAGAAGTGTACCTTAAGAACCGGTCATAATTTTAAATTAATTCCAAAAACTTTAATTATTAAAAAATATAAAAATTTCTTGACGTCTTGTATCTTCAGATCATTTTTTTCTTTACACCTTTAGGAGTTTTGCCTCCGCCGTTCGTCTATCAAAATAAAAATTTATTAAAACAACAATAATAATAAAATTTTATTAAATTATGTAAATGTAATACCTTTGACTTGTTATAGTTCGATTTAAAAAGTTGTTTCATTACTTAAAAATATTTTCTTTTTTTTCTAAACATATTCTTTAACATATCGATTACAAATTCACTCAGATGCTGGATAAGGATAATGTATTTAATTTCTATTCATCTGTTTCTAAAATTAAATTTATCCTTGAAATTTTTCTTAGTTGGAATTTTTTTATCTATGATCTCCATTCTTTTTCTGTAAAAAAAATTTAATATTGAAAATTTTATCAGTAGAAATTTTCATTACAATATAACCTTATAAGCCTTGTTTTTTTTTAATTTTATTAAATTATTACTTACGTTTTGTACTGAGAAACAAATGGTGTAAGTAAAAAATGAAATTTAATTTTTTTACAATATTTGTGCATTATCACAAATTATTTTAAGTTACAAAAATTTTATTTTACAAATCACTTGAGTACGCATGTAAATGGAGACTGTACACATATAGACAACAAAAACAAAACACACATGTAAACATATATTTATAAGTACAGTAAAATCTCAATAGAGTTTCGGAGTTTTTTCTCGACTTTTCTACAAGTTACTAAGTACAAAAGCAATAGAGAGAGACAGCCTGCAAAAATTTATTAAGATTTAAATATTTTACTATATAAAATAGTTTTTGATAGTGAAATTTATTCTCCACGCATATCTAGGTAAATACATGCATGTGCTCAAGTTAAATAGACAGTGTTTCATATTTTCAAGAAACGAACGTTAACCTAAAACAAAGTTGATTAAAATAATTTTAATTTGCGCTCTTTATTGATAAAAACGCAAATAAAAAATTAGAGTGATATAAATTACGGCCTAATTTTTTTTTACCTAAATTGAAAAATTTACCAAATAAAAATGGTAAAAATCGGATTAAAATTTAAAGCATCTCTAGAAAACATTAAAGAGCTAAATTCAAAAGATGAAAACTTTCGGTGGTATCTAAAATTTTCTTGCTCCGAATGCTCAGAAGAATCAGACAAATGGAACTATTTGTCTTTAAACGAAGTTGTTGATAGTTATCACCGTGTTGTTAGTCATTTCGTATGCAAATGTAAATCCTGCAAACGCGTCAACACCGTCACAATTATTGAAGACTCATTGAAAGCCTACACTGCCGAGGATGAAGGAACGTTCAAAACCATTGCTGTATTCGACTGTCGAGGATTGAACCCCATTGATTTTAAACCTGGTGAAGGATGGGTAGTCAAGGCTGTCGACAATGGAACGGAGTTCGAGAATGTTGATTTGAACGAAGGCAGCTGGTCTGATTACTGTGAGATCATCAAGCAACCAGTCAGTGTCGATGACATTCAACATTCATTTGAAAAAATTAAGTAATTTTTTCGTAACTATTAAAAATTGTTTTTTTATTGAATATTATTATTATTATAATAAATTACTTAAAGCATTTATTAATCTTAAATATTTTTGATAGATACCAAGGATTAAATAATAAATGTTAAAGAATTGTTATCAATTATCAACAACGACATAATATAATTTATTAATAATCATATACAAAAAAACCATTCATTATTTTATGATAAATTGTTCGAGACAGATCAAACTTATTGTTTATGATTGTAACAATAGTCTTTGATAAATTTATCTCATTAGTTTATAAATTACTTTTTTTTTCTACCCTGCACTGTCCGTCTGATGACTAAAGACAAGTCCGAGCAGGGGAACACTTGAAAAACCAATTTTGTTTATTTTTTATAATTAATTTTTGTTTGAATTTGGTGAATTTTGAAATGGTAATGTTATTTGGAATGTATTAAAAGCAGCCAACAATACATTTTTTTGGTAACTATTTTTTTTAATGACACTGAAGTTAGCAGACGTCTAAAAATTTTTGATTTTTTTTTTAAATTAAATTACAGCTAAAAAAATATTTCTAAAAAATTGCACTTGAAGTTTTTCAAGTTTTTTACATGTGAAATTTTTTTTTTTTTAATTATTTAATTGAAATTTCTTCAGTAAATAATTTAGAAAAATTTTGAAATGTCAGCCAACTTCATTTTCATTTTTTTTTAGTGTACCATTTAATTATCAATGATAATAAAATTAATTAAGAGTATTTTTTAAAAATACTAATAGTTATATACATCGGGCAATTTAAAATAAATTATAATTGTAAGTAACGCAGCTTTGCAGTTCTACTATTTTTTCAACGGAACACTGTAAAAAAGTTTTTAAAGCAGTGTCCATTTCAATTGAAATATTTAACTTTTTTTTTTTTCCACGCTCAAGTGGTAAAATTGCTTGCATTTTATTGAATTTAATTTTATCATTGATTACGTAATTATTAATGATATATTCAAAAATTTTTCAAGTTACCATTATTTCAACTGAAATAAAAACTTAAGTTCTTTAATTGTATTTATAAATAAAAAATTTTTTTTGTAAAATGGCTGACAAATTTTTTTAAAAATTAATATAAATACAGGAAAGAAATAAATAATCTATCTAGTACAATAACTACTATTTAGATAGTTTAATTCTAAAATCTATGATTTTCTAAATTTAAACTACGTATTTACTATCGTCTAATATTTTAATTTAAATAAATATTACATGTTACGATTAATTGATATAAATTTCGTTTTTGACGAAAACATTTCAACGTAAATCACATTAAAATTTCTAGATACACTAATAATTTATTAATTAAATCTAATCGTACTGCTATCAGTCTATTCTTAAAAATATCACTGTGACTGAATATAGTTTAATAAAATTAATTATTACTAAAAACAAATAAATTACATCATCATAATTCATTAATATAAATTATAAATAAAATAAATTAATAAATATCTACTTTGAGTACAATATTTGGCATTAAAATCAATAGTATTCAGTAATAAATTTCCCATAAAATTTTTTTTGTTTTTTAATCAACAAAAGTTTTTTTTTCTACTCTTCATATTATCTTTGGTAAAGTAATTGAGAAATAACGTCCTACTGACAAACATAAATAATCTGTGTCACAGCTTACTATTTAAGTACAGTAAACAAAAAGTATTGACAGTACAACGGATAAAGTATAAATATAACATTGTATTAAACTTCTATGGCATCCACAGACGTTTAAGTCTACGCTACGTGTATTGTCTAAAAAATTATTGTAACATAAAATACAAGATAATAAATACTACAATACAGATATTTTACTACAATAAAAAAAATCTCGGATATTTTTAACAAAACAAATAATACTAACATACAAGTTTTGGATAACTGTCTTTTATATTATGATTTAACCAAAAGCAATAAAAAAACTAAGGTATAAATACTTCTACGTAGGGTAATATTCACTGGAATATTAAAATAATAATGATAATTAATTTATCGATTGAGTGTTTATAATTTTTTAACTATCTACTCTCTATTGATTACTGATTATTACTGAATATTCATATTTGGTTTAAAGATAAATTACTATAGCCATTTTGTAAATTTTAAAATGTAAAAATTTTTCGTACGTAGCAAATTTAATTTATGTACTAATTTACATATACTTAAATATGCCCATTAAATAAATAGTATTAGACTAAAAATGTGCCCATTTCTATGAAAAATATAATATTAAAATATAAAGACGTGTTAAAAAGTTAATGATTTTGAAATTAATGGTAATTCTATGATTCTTCCGACTCCACGATTTGAAGACGGATTTGTATAGATGTCAACGAAATAATACGAATACAATTTTTCGATATTTTGTTTATATTAGTTTTCAAAAATCTATCAAATTCCATAATAAAATTTTTTTTAGATTTTCAAGTATCGATAATTCGAAAACTAAGCAAGATATCAAAAAATTTTATTACACTTCTCGTTTTATTTTTCAAGAATCTATCGAATTCCGCCAGTAAAAATGAAATAAATATTTTTAATTTTTGTGATGCCGTAAGAATCGTAGAAACTCCAAATTAATATGTTTAATGAAAGTATTGTTGAGAAAAAAAAAATAAATAATAACAATGACAATTGTGTTAATAGTGATGATCAAAGAATAATGAACTCGGAATTCCGTAAAATTATTATGTATCGAATACATTGATAAACATTAAGGCTATCGATACGTGCCTTTGTAAAAAGTGAAAACGGCCAGGAAAATATTTCTTATAGCACGTCATATACGACTTGACGTTTCTTTTAATCTCCCTGACGTTTAGTTGTAGACAGACATAAAAATATATGTGAGTCCCCCTGCAGGGCGTCTGTTAAGAAAACCCCTCTGTACCTATATAGACGCTTAGGTATACCGTTATAAAGTTGAAATAAAAAAATACTAAAAAAATCACTTTGAGGGACAAGTTTTAAGTATCGATTCAAGGTAACGTGTCGTCGAGGATCGGCTCCTGCAGGCACGTCTGCTTCAGAGTAGCCGACTGATCCTCAAGGCTACGTTTTAGGCCCTCGATCGTATGCATCAGCATCTGTCTTCGTAGCTGCGTGAGGTGATGCTGGAAATTTTGGTTGTCTTGAGCATTCAAGTTTGCTTCTGCTGCTAATCGCTCTTGTCGTAACTGCGCTATCTTTTCTCTCAAGGTCCGTCTTGAATCATCTGTAATTTAATATTAATGAATATTTATACTTTGGTAAGTTTAAAAACAAAGAAAAAAAAATACCTGTATCATCAGTCGCAGTATCTCCATCAGAATTTCTCAAAACGACATGTTCACCTAGTGTTTTTTGTATCCTTCCATATGTTGCACTACCGGCGTAAACTTTTCTCTTTACTGGTTCACTTTGAGGACAATAGTAAGTACTTTCTTTGACTGGTCCCATATCAATAGACCTATCAAATGAATAAATATTATTAAAAAAAAAATTTTTTTTTTTATTAAGTACGAATTTTTAGCATTCATATTTTTTATTGTTTTTTTTAATCCAATTTTTCAATTAATTTAATGAATTTATTTTACTCTAGGAAAATAATATTCGAGACACAGTCAAATTCAAGAAATTGAATTTAAGATATCTAGATTCAAAATCTAGAAATTAAAAAAATTTTTTTAATTTGGAAGAAGTTAGATAAAAAATAATTGCAAAATTTATTTATTGTTTGAAATGATGATAGTATTTGTATTTTTTACCGAAAAATGAAGCATTATTCTCTTATTAGGTTTAATACAATTAATTTACGCTATTTTTTATTTTTGCTGTTGACTATTGAACTATAATCATAATAATCATAATAATAATAATAATAATAATAATAATAATTTATAGATATTTTAGATATGAATTGAGGATAAATTGTTTATGCCCGGAGGAAAATACAGGCTAACAATATTACGAAAAATTAGAGAAAAAAATTGTTGTATTAGATTGGATAGCCAATAAACTGAAAATTTAATGACTTACGTCAGAAAATATTTATTAAGTATTATAAAACCAGTCTTTAGAAAAAATAAATATTAAAATAATAATAATAATAATAATAAATCACAAAATTAAATATAAATCTTGTAAAACTTTACCTGAACGTCATCAAGGGTGCTCGACTCAATTCACATCGATCGTCCGACTCAGAAGAACTCGACGTAAGAGTATCTTCCTTAGTTTTCCTTGGAATTTCTTTTTTGATGATAAGACTAGAAGTTTTTTGAGCAAGTGATAATGCTTGCTCTCTGGTAAATGTTTTCGACAATCTACCGTCTTGACTAAATGACCTAATACCGTTCATTTCAATGCCGCGAGATCTCGATCTATCTTTTGTCTCTTGTTCCATCATCAAAACGCGATTTTGCACTAAGCTACGACAGGGAGAAGGTTGTGGTGTGCGCCTTAATACAACTGGTGATTCAGAAGATTTAATATCTTGCCGATAATGATAATTATCTTTTATTAAATTACCAGAATTGCGTTCGATAAAACGGTGGATAGGTGAAAAAGGCTGGTTAAATTGTCGTTTAGGGCTGGTGTGCTCTATATCACGTATACTTCCGCTCTGCAATTCTGGCTGTGAATTACGGCTTTTTAATAACGCCAGTTCAATATTTAGCTCTGTATTTTTAATCAACTCGACCCGTTTGTTAGCCAATCCATTGTGAAGTCGTCGTGACGGCGAGGGTATTACAGGCGAAGTATTTCTGGTGTTAGTGGTAGCAGTAGCTGTTGTTGTTGTAGTGGTGGTTGTATTTTTCATATTTACAAGAATATTTTCAGCTTCAACTATAAGCTCTCGATATTTCCTATCAGCTTCTCTATCGGCTTCTATAAGAGCAAGCTCTGATGCAAAAGTTGACATGCGAGAATTCCCAGACGTACGCTGCTTCAATGTATTTCCATTGACATAACTCACTGAATTGGATCGCCGCTTTACTACATCATTATCCATTACACTTGGATGAATAAAGTTACGGTGGTGATCTTCATTTTGCTTCAATGATGACAAATTCTCATTTATATCGTGGTGCTTCCTTCGTCTCAGACAAATTGGCGTGCCACCTACACTTCGGCTTCCTTGATTAAACCCTGAGTTTTTCAGCAACATTCTTTCAACTAATACCCTGTTTAAATTTGCTGTTGCATCGTCGCATTTTTCTAATCCAGATTTTTTACGCTGTGATTGACGTTTTTTACGCTTCTCACCGGACTTATCATCAAACTTTTTGTGGCGAAGACTTTGACGCTTTGAATTATTTCTCATGCTTGAAGTTCTAAAAAAAAAAAATAAAAATTTTCAAAGAATTGATTTTTTTTTTTTTCAACAATATTAAAACTATTTTAGCTTTCAAATAAAAAATTTCTTCTTATTTTAATAACATTTTAACTGGATAGTACTAATACTGACAAGAGTTTACTAATTTACACGTGTCTCATAATTATTCGCATGAGCTAGTTACAGTAGTTTTTGTAACGTACGGTCAAAGAAGCACCCCGTAATGCATGAACAGAGCCGCTTATGTTATACGGCTATTTAATTTAATTAAGAAATTAAAAGCTCCATATATGGGTGATTCTCTGTAAGGATGTTTTTTGCTGTCCCAGGCATTTTTTTATTAGATAAATTGTTATTTTGTTACTAAAACAAATTTATTACGAAAGTAAAAAAACATTTCTATTTGGAGCATTGAAATAAATTTTGGTTTTTTTGCTATAAATTCGTAAACCACCGAAATAACAGTCCCCTGGGTTGTCCCATTCTCAAACTTAAAACTTTAAGATTAAATTTTAAGTTATTCGTCTATAATATATAATTTGGTCCATAATGTTTATAAACTTAATTAGTTAACTAACAATCTTCTTCAATAAAAAGTACCGAAAATTAATTTGTTTCATTAAATACATTAAACCAAAGTTTGTCCCAGGCATTTTAAGAACAGTCCCCTGCCAGAAGTTCAAAGCCAAAAAAAAAATCCAGCGTGTTATTTTACCTTTTGTAAGGTTTATAAGGACCTAACTAGTCTTGAGTTAATAATCATAGGGCTGTTAGCGCTTTATCGCCATTTTATTTAGTGTCAAAGCACAGTTTGTGCTGGAAATATAAGTCTGGGCCACTTCAAAACTCAGTCTCCCGGCAACTATTTTTATTTAATATAAAATTGGATCCATAAGTCTTAATATTATTCTAATTAATGTAAACATTCACTGAGAACTTGAAAAGTTGAATGCATTGAAATAGTTTGCTTGATTTTTCTCAATTTGATAAAAAAAAAACAGTCCCTTGTCATGTTATATGGCAAAAGATACACAAATATCGAAAAAGCAAAAATTAAATCGGCTGTTTATTTATTATAATTAAACTGATAGTTTTGTAGCCCTTGTTAATTTTTTTTCTAATAAAATCAAAAATAATTTGTTCGGATAATTTTGTACAGATTTAAGACGTCCTTACAGAGAATCACCCATATATTACATTATTAATAAAATAAAAAGCCGTGTCTTTGAAAATTTTAGCTGGCTAATAATACAGTATTTTAGTGAATGAAGATTAAAAATTTTATAATTTTAATATTGAAAGAAAAAAGTCGAAATTTAAAGATTTTTTGGTTTTTGTTTTAATACCTATTTATAGAAATAATTAAAAAAAATTCTAAACATCGTTTTAAATCTATTACTTTCATTAAAATTTATACTTTATTCGGTTGAAAGGTCAAAACTAAAAAAAAATGATTGGTTGAAATTTAACCAACTTTGAGAGATAGTCTAAAAAGCTTACCGATGTTGGAATTCGTCTTTAGATCGTCTTTTCAAAAGTGATTCCCTGAGCCGTGTGCTACGACGTGTTAGCTCGGTTGTGAATGTGAAATAAGTACAGTGCCCGGTATTGGGTAAATGTGCTTCAAGATTATCGAGATCCAGAAAACTTCCATTGTCAATATAATCAAGCTCGTCATTTTCAAGTGGATCGTTTTCATCACCCCCATCCTGGCCGGTGTCGATATCTGACGGTGAGTGATTGACATAGTCCTCACAGTCAGTTGGATCGCTGTCCGACAATATATCCGTCTCTTTTTCATATATATAACTCTCGTCAAATTTACCCATCATTTCGTTAAGCGTGATGTCATCTTCTGATGATCGAAAACTTTGGGTCATTGATGACGATTCTGATGAGCTGCTGCTAACGCGTCTTAACAATCCTGATATTTTTGCTCTGACATCCATCGCTGGTGAAATCCTCCAATTTTGATTTATTCTAAAAAAAATATATTCATGTATTAGAAAAGGAAAATTTCTTTCTTAACTTTGGAGGTTTGTAACTCGACAGATTTTTATACAAGGATCATCAAGGTATTTTTTGTAGCAAATTGAATACTCTATAAAAAAGATTTGAAGGAAGATTTTTGTAAATTGAGCAGCTTCAGGGATATTGAGCCGCAATAACAATAGTTTAAAAGACGAAAAACACGCTTTTATAGAAAACGAAACTGAAAAGTAAATAAAGTGGGTCAAAATGAAGTCCAAAGGAGTCGGTTACAAATATACAAACATACAGGTGAAGTTAATAAAAAGCGTGTAAAAATTGATTAGCAACTTTGAAATAAATATCTACAAATATTTGATAGAATAATAAAAAGAAATTTTTGAAAATTTATGATGTTATCATTTCAATTGATCTTCAGTAAAAAATACTTGCATATTACAAATATACGCTGATCGTTTATCATAAATTTCTAAATTGGTAATTAAAGACAAAATGATCTTTTCCCATTTAAACACCGATATCTCAGCGAGAAATGCTCGTATCGAGATTTTTAGAAAACCAAATTAAAACTGAATAAACAAGTTATCTGGTCCATATATAGGTTAAGTCAAAAAAAATTTTTCCAAGTCCGTAGACAAAAAAATAAAACCAAAAAAATTTCGAAAATTTTTTTTTCGGTGATTTTCTTAAGATTACTCGAAAAATTTTCAAACTTAGATCCAAAAACTAGACACTTAGAGCTACAATTTGCTTTTTTTTTTTATTTGCTATACGACCATTTTTCTACAAGTTACAGCCTGTTAAAAATCCCTCAAAAATTTGGATTTTTTTCTTGCTTTCTTAATTTTTGTGAGAAGTGTATTTCTTCCTTTTTTTTTTTAGCGCTCTAATCTACTGTATATAATAAAGAGAATACGAAAAAATTTGTCTCGGGTGTATTTATATGATAAAATGGAACTTTTTTTATTCAACTTTAGTACCATTGGGAAGGTCTTGACCTGAATTTGTGCCCTTTTACGGTTTCATATGGTTTCTAGCGATATTTAATTTATTTATTCAAGTTTTCGAAGTAGCTCTGAATAATTTTGAATTTCATTTGTTTATTTATAGATTTTGTTTGGTAAATGTGAATGTAGTTAAGTGTTAAATATTAATCTACGTAATTCAGAAAATAGGAAAAATTTTGTGACTGCAATATTTTTATATTTCAAAGGATTTTTATAATTAAATTTGATATCATCAGAAAGATCCTGACGCGAGTTTGTGCCTTTGACTAATTATATATATTTTTTATCTTAAGTTTTTGGAATAGTTTTAAATAGTTTGTTGGTTCTATAAGTTTATTTTCGTCATATTGTTCATTAAAAATTATTAGTAATTGATCCTGTCATAACAATATAACTTTTTTAATTTATTCCAAAATTCTCAAAACTATGTACATAATGATTAAAAAAATATCGAAAGTTCTTCTATTAATAATTCGTAACTCTCAGCAGTCTTATAGTGAGAGCAGGTTGCTATTATATATCAATGAAAAAAAAAAAAAAAAAAAACAAAAATCTTTCAGTTAGTTTATTTTGACTTTCAGAAACTTTGTTTTTTTTTAACGAACGAATAAAAGTCTACCGAAGCTACATGTATACAAAACAAAGTCTCTAGACATATTGTCAACTGTACTTTGTGATTAAAAGTTTCCAATAAAGTAAAAAAGAAAAAAAAACAACATACATTTGATGAAAAAAAAAAAAAACAAATAAACATTTAATTGGTAAACTTTTGAAAGTTTATTAATTCAAATATCGTAATAACAATTAAAATAAATTGGAAAGGTGTTGACGGTGTCTTTAACAGAATAATAGACAGCATTATTTGAATAGTAGATTGCACATTATATTACAGACATATAGATAGGTAGATAGACAGATAGAGTATTTACAAAGCTATCGTTTAAACGTCTGTCAAGCTTCATAAAATCAATGGCATCGATATACTCACGGACTACGCCCTGCGCTGAGGCTCTCTTGTCGGCACTCCCTCTTAGTGTTGCCGTTCCTATGGTTATTAATGTTAACATCACTGGCACTTCCGGAAGACTCGGTGAGTTTGAGACCAGAGCTGCTGCTGGTCTCGTCATGGGTTAAACGTGATTTGTTGTACCCGTTGGCAATCGTTTCGGTTGTTGCTGTTGTTGTCGTCGTAGCCGTGCTAGAGCCAGAAGAATTGGCGGAAAGCCACGGATTCGTTCGTATGCGGGAGCGCTGCCGAGGCGATTGGGCTGAGGGCGAAGAAATTAAGGGCGGAGGAATTGATGAGGGCACTGGTAAACTGTTGCGAGCAGTTACATCCGTTGAATATGACTCAGTCCTTCTAGACTGCGGCGGAAGTTGCGGCTGTTGCTGATGATGATAATGATACTGTTGCTGGTATTGCGGCTGATGCTGTTGCTGCAGGAGGGAGTCGCGCTGATGAGCTTGCGAATTTAGCTGACTCTGCTTGTTGACTAAATGGTTAACTGACTCCGTCGTCTGAAATAAAAAAGAGTTTTTAGTATAAGGCTACACTAACAAAAAAAAAAAATAGTTATTCGTTTCCTACACGGAGAAAATTTTATAGTAGAGTTTATTGTCTAGTTATGTTAAAATCTATTAACTGAATTCGATAGTAGTAAATATTATTTAAATAATTAAGTAAACCATCTGAATTGTAGTATTAACCATCAGGATGGTAACTACTACTATTATAGTAGTAATCAGTAATAATAACTGTTATTATTTTAATTAGCTACTACTATTATCAAAATCGTAATTCCTGATATAACCTGATGGTTGTAGTTACCATCAGTAATAATAATAACTACTATCTAAGCTAGTAAAAAATATTTAAAACATTAAGAATTTGCGTTACCGTGGATGCATTTTTTTTGGAAAAAAATTTTTAATTTCCAAAAAAAATCAAAATTTTCAATAAAATTCAAATTAAAAAAAAAGAAATTAAAATTTCAAAAAAAAAATTTTAAATCTTCAAAAAAATCAAATTTTCAAAAAAAAATTTTGATGGAAATTTAAAATTTTCAAAAAAAAATTTTGATGGGAATTTAAAATATTTTAATATTTCAAATGAAAAAATGTACATTAGCTCAAATATGGATCTAAATAAAGGATTTAATTAAGTAAATTTGTATTATTTTTTCTTTCAAAATTTTTACAATCTGAGATGGTTACAGTTACCATCTTCGATTGTAACAGTTATAATTTATAATAATTACAATCATTATTTTTGATAGTAATCGTTACCATTATTAATAGTAAATATGACAATTGTCAATGATACCACCTATTATTTTGTTACTAATTAATTTTATTACCATTTTAGATAGTAGGAGTAACTATTTTTGTATAGTAGGTAGTATAATTAATTTTTCGCCGTGTATTGGTTTTATTATTGATTATTTCTATGCAGATACCGTTACTTTAAATTCGGTGTAATTATTTTACGAATTTTAATTCTTGTAACCAACCCTCTGTTCTGTCTATTTTCCTGTCCTTTTTCCAGTACGTCAAGTTGTTTTCGCAATTCGATTTACATATTAAACGAGCTACCCGTCGTTTATTGGATGCTCTGATGTCGAATGAAAAACCGTTAATTCGAACTGACGTGTATTTTACGGGATCGGTTGTGATGATTACCATGTCTTGTCAACCGGAATTGAAAACCAAAATGTCAAAACTTTCATTTTTAATTCTATAAATTTATTTTTTTATTGTAAATTAATTTTTATAAAAATAACGAAATTAACTTTTATTCAACAAAGTTTGACTTTTTTTTTTAAAAAAATTTAATATATGTTCAAAACTTTTGCTGTTTATATGAATTTGCATTGAGAAAAGTTTTTATTTTAATAGTTATATTTGCATATAGTACTTGGCGCTGAAATGTTCAATTTTAAAAACTTAAATAATTCATTTCATTTCATTTTTTTTTTATTTTAAAACTTTTTGTTATTTTGGAATTGTAGTTCTTTTTTTCCGAAAATTTTTGATCTTTTTTTTGTTAATAATTTAAAAAAAAATATATATATAAAATTTCTGAACAAGTAATATTTCAAAATAATTTTTTATGGCCAGCAAAATTAAAGTTTAAAAAAAAAATTTTTGTTAATTTTCACAAAATGTCCCATTAATCCACGATTTATAAATTAATCAATTGTTTGAATAAAAAATAATTTTGTGAACTTCCGTCAGAAAAATTAATTTAGAAATAATCAATAGAATATTTCAATTGAAATTAAACATTAATTCAATAAAAAAACATGAAGATCCGTTTCATCTCATAAAAATTTCACATAAGCTTTCCTAAAAATATGGTGTGGTTATAAAATAAAAAATTACTTGGTACGCGTTTATTAGATAAAAATAATAATAGCAAACAATTTTTCCGTGAGAGCAGAAGATAAGCTTATAGTTTTTTTTTCTTTTGTTAATACTGAAGTACTTTAAAATCTATGCAAAATTCATAACCATGGAAGAAAAGATACATATGGTAGCTTTGACAACACCAGTGTTATGTTCTATATGAATAAACTCGCCGCCGTGTCTTTGAAGCTAACTACCAAGAACAGCTAATCTCAGGTCATGAACTCTTTGCGTAAAGTTCAACGATAATCTACATATAACCTGACGTGCTCCGTAACAATCATGATAAACTTTTCAACTGATAAGATAAAAAATCAAACTTTTGACCTCGTTTCACTTCACAACAACTCCTATTTAATTAATACGTCAAAGTATTGATTGGTTTATTATTTTCGTAAGCTTCATGTTAAATATTTTTTTTTGTTTCATTGACCTGAATGGAAAAATCAAAATTATTTATAGTATAAAACCAACATTTAATATAAATAATAATAATAATTTTATCGGATTGAGGAAGAATGTGTTTTCCGATAAATGTTTTCTGCAAGTTATTGTAATATTACCTGAAAGGGAATAGTCGTTTTGAGTTCTCTGATGAGTTTGTTCTCTCGTGTCATGTTAATGTTACCATTCACCCTGACATTCTCGACGCATTCACGTTGTACCTCATTTACTGGACCGTTGACCATCACGCTGGTAGCTTCACCGGGTCGCTTGTTAATGCGAGCCCCTTTGTTACTCTGAAAGTAGTGCGTTCCCGTCCTGATATTTATGTAATACTCGGGTGGATAACTGGCCCCTGGTGAAGTTCCGTCAGTCGAGTACCCAGTGCTATAAGCGCTTTCGGGCGAAGATAAATTAACGCTTCCTGTTCCACCTGAAGTTCCAGATGAGTTTGTGGTTGCGCCTTCGTACGTCGTCGTTGATCCGTTGTTTATGATAATATTGTCTACGTTTTTTACTGGCGAGTTCAATGGATAAACCTGAAACAATTTTTTTTTTTAATAGAATAAACTAGATAAAGTTTGATGAATCAGAATATGCGTACGGTAAGCACTAATTTCATAATTTCACGGAAAAAAGTAAACTGTAATATTCACTCGGATTCCGGTTAATTTTTATAGTTTCAAAATATTACAGAACTTAATGTAGAAAGTATAAAAGCCATAATTTATAATTTAATCTTAAAAAATTACTGTTTTAAACAGTAAAAATTGCCATTTCAATATATAGTCCATATTATGAGGAGAAGGGGAACTCAGATGAAAGAAAAGGGGGTTTCACTCTGGGAGAATTTAACATTTGAAACAGTAAAAATTATACTTTTAAAATATACATTTTACCAGTCCAAGCAAGTCAATAATTACAGTTTTATTTTTAGCGTTGCGATTAAAATTTACCATTTTACTTTGTAAATATTGACGTTGCTTGTATTAGAAATTTACTAACTTTATTTTATACTTTTTACATATCATATAACATCATTTTTTAGGTACCAAATGATAAATATCAAAGTCTAAATTCGTAATTATTATACTTTAACATTTTAGATATTTACACAGTAAATATTACTGTTTGAAATAGTATTTTCTTCCATGTAAAGAGTAAATTGTAATGTTTAAATGGTAAATATTATAAATTGAATAGTAAAATCACGATTTTACTGTTTGAAATGGTAATTTTAAGCAGTTGATCATTACTTATTATAATTCGACTGTTATTTATTACAGTTTACTTTTTTCCGTATTTATATGAATTTCACAGGGATAAAAAAATTTATGTGGTAATTTAGGATATTTTTTTCAAACAGTAATTGAATTTTGAATCTAATAAAAATTTTAAATTATCAATGTTTACGATATAAAATATTTTATTTTCGTTGTCAAAAACTTATTTTTAAACCACCCGCTTTTTTACTTGAAGAAACACCATTTTTTAGTACAGTTTAGTGCAGGTACGTATATACTATACAATTAGAGTAAAAAGTACGTCATAAATAATTCGACAAGACTCTAAATGACATATTAAGCTAAATATATGTAAAATGTTGAGCGCATTTAATATGATTTTGTCAAAGAAATTAACTGAGAACGAATCGCAATTATCTAAGCAGTTTTTTTACATCAAAATAAAATATTTAGCATAAAAACATCGAAAAAATGAGAGGAATTATGTTATATAAAGCTTTATTTTGTCTAGATGAGCAGACAATAAAATAGTTAACAAAATTTTTTTATAAGAATCATTTAAATTATAAGTTTTTATTAAATAAGTAATTAAAATAATTAGCTTTGTTCATAAAAGTATTATCATAATATCAGCATACTTTTAATGATGTGTCAGTGCGCTATAAAAACGGTAGAGATGATTTGAAGATATGTGTTCTTTACTAAATTAAAATTTTTATAATAAATTCTAACTATGGCTGTTGCGCTTTTGAAGGTGTGGAAAATATTAATATTGATATTGTATAGTTAAAATTAAATTTATAAAAATAAGTTTCTCAGAATTATAAAAAAGCTCATTCTCTAATTTAAATACAATTATTATTTCAAATTAATAATAGTGATTTGACAAAATATGTATAAAAAACTGAAATTATTACTCAAAAATAACTTGCCGTAATAATAATAATAATTAATATGTAGTTGATAAAGTTTAATGTTAGTTAATTGAAAAATTCTGAAAAATCGTAGAAATTAAAATTTTAAACTGTAGAAAAGCAATGAAAATCTAAACCTACTGGTAGATATTAAATAGTATATATTCATTATAATTTTTACTGCCTAACAAACTATTTTTTCTCAGTAAATAAAGACATTTTAATTTTTTCTTTTTCGATGTGAGATGAAGTAGATGGAAGGAAAAAAAAAGTAAAGTTAAATATACAGATAAATATAAATACAGCAAGAGTCTTTCAGAATCTGCGAAAAGAAATTGAATAAAGTTTGGAAAATCCAAAAGTGCACGCCTCATAGCGCTCATTCATTTTTTAAGAAAAAAATTAATTGTGTAATTAATTAAAAAAAAAAAAAATTATAATTAAGTAATTTCTTACAGAGTATTTTTTATTTTTTTTTAAATATCGGCGCCCTTTCTTCTTGTCATGCGCGCACGCAGTCTAAAAAAAAATCTAGCTTGATCAAGTGGCGCCATAGTTTTCACGTGACAAATAAGGAAAGTTCGCTTAGCTTTGTACGGTTGTATCGTAGTAAATTTTGATAAAAATTCAATTTAAAAAAAAATACGTAAGCTAGGCCATTGATATGCAATACGGACCCAGTTCATCGAATTCTTAAACTAATAAAAAAGATCCGGTCTTGAAATGTCAATTTGTTTGGGAGTAATCGTTGGTACATCCAAAATGGGGTGACATCCGGACGTCCACGTAAAATTTTTTTCAAAACGTTTTTTTTTTTTAAAATAGCAACATGAAATGATTTTAGAAAGTAACAGATGGTTTAATTTAAGTGTTTTTTCGGTGTACATCTACTTATATCATTGTATAAGTGTAATATGGTTGTGATAGAGGCATTTAAAGATCACAAAATTGCTTGATCTTAACGAGTCGAGTATAAAGCACAACCTCACGCGCTTCGCGCTATGAGGCGTGCAAAATGGTAAATAGAGAAGTCTATAATTGGATGGCGAGTCGATAGAAAAAAGTATAAAAAAATAAACTAGTGGCTTTGTGGCTTTAAAAAGAGATACTTGAAATAGAACAATATGCCAGATTTTTATTTCAACCTGCTAAAGTATATTTTTCTGATTGATCTGGTCTACCTTTGTATAATATTACTATCTCTTCTCTCTTCTCTATACATATAATGGTATCTATATTGTGCCTTATTATATATCTTTAAATGATAAAAGTACGCTTGTTCGTGAAATAAATTTCTTATTGATTTTAGCGTGCTGAAATATTAGGGGATGAGGATTATTAAATATGGCTACTCATAAATATCGCGGTGTTCTGGCAAACCAGGTTTTAATTAAGGGCGAGGGTAAATGCTGAATATTAAAGAGCCAAGTGATTAAATATTTTCAAAAACAATATATCTCTCAGCAGGAGAGTATTTAGTTGTATAAATGTATATTTATGATAATATTTATTTGTGTTATTTGTTGTTTTCATTATCAGAGCTTGCAGTAAGTACTGATACAAGTTTTAATTGCTGGTTATGATAGTTTTTATGAGGGAAGAATATTTGCAACATTTGCATAACTTTCAACACTCACTGTCAAGGTTGTTTTTTGTATTCATTATAAATATAAATTTTGTATAAGAAATAGATATCAGTACTATTGTAGAAGATTCAATTTTTTTCAAAATTGTTTTTATGATTTTTTTCACTCAGTTTGAAAATTTCACGGTCACAAAAATCTATGACTTTATCAAAAAATTAACTTTGGTCTAAATTAAAAATCAGTCACTTTTTTTAGATCTAAAAGTATTATAATAACGTAAATAATAACGTAAATAATCAGTCGCTAAAAACTATTTGGTAACTGAATTTGACATGGTATAATAAATAAAAAAAAAAGATAATGATTTCGATAAAAATTAGCAAACGCTAGAAGTTTCTGTAATTGATGTCATTATCTTATTAATTTTAACCAATGTATCATTAATAATATTGAAACCAGACTTGTATGAAGATAAATGATAAGTTATGATTATTACATTCCGGAGAATATTTGTATATCATTTATTTTCAATAGTATATGTATACATATGGAAAAATTTAACGGCAGAAATTGTAAATGCTAGTAGTTTAGAAGTATTTAAAGTAAAGATGTTCGATTATCTACTTGAACTGGATTTCCAGTAGCTTCTTTATCTTAAACTGGCTTGCCTAGTTATTATTTGATATTTTATATTACAAATTAGTAAATCTGTGCAATTATCTTAGTTAGATCCAAAAGTCATCAAACTTTAAGTTTATTATCAAATGTATATAGTCAAATAAATTACACCGAAAACATGTAATGTATTTTATAATTTATCATATCTACACTTATGTAATGTAAAAATTAATTAACTTAACACTGTATATTATTATTGTAAACAGAACTATGTAAAATTTCTTGCCATTCGGCTAATTGCCTTGGCATAATAATAAATACAATACAATACAGTACAATACATCTATAATTAAATAAATATCGATACAAAAATATGGTTGAAATTTATCAATATTTCCTGATTTTTTATATACGTAATTACTAATTTATTCATAACGAATCGAAAGGTAAGAATTTGTTTTAAAATCTCTTCTTTTTCGAAGAATTGATATTTTAATAATTAAACTAAATAATAATACCTGATGAAGCCCTGACGGTGATCGGTTACTGTGACTACCTGGTGAGTTGCAATTTGAATCAAAGCCTTTTTCACCTTTCTTTCTATCTTTCTTTTTCTTGGGTCGCACGATATGCGCCTCCATCCACGTACGCAACTTCGTACCGAACATGATTACGCCCACAACAAACAATAGTTATCAGCTTTGCCGATTTTAGTTTTCTTCTCAATGCAAATTTATCATTCAAGTATATTTAATACTATTTCTTCAAAATATAAATTTACTTATTGTAAATATTTATCTAATTAATAAAATCATATTTGAATTTTTTGGTGTGGTTCGGGTCGTCTTCCACCAACTATCCCTTTTTTTTTGTCCACAAATCTGTAACACAAATAACATTTCATTGGTAAATAAAATAACAAACAAAAATTATGTACTTTCTTTCTTTATATTTATTTGTTTAATTTTTTTTCAGGAAGTTAAAAGGGCTTGAAAAGTTTAAGAAGATTGAAATCTAGTAGAAAGCTTTCAGTAGAATTTTCTCAACAATGAACGTACAGAGGTATTAGAAACTTTACCGTCTCGACTTTACTTGTTCAGCTTTATATAAGTATAGATGTATATAATATTATACGTATAGACGTTTTAGTTCTAGGGGAAACTGACTTTTCTATACAGGGGTTGAGGAGTTATAAAATGCGTGGATCGTCGAGATGAGGGTGTACGTCCAATTTTTGACATTAGTCAAACTTTATTTCAAATATCAAAGCTGTACTTTTTTTACAAAAAGTTCATTTTTTTTTGGCATTGGAAATTTCTATCTATTAATGTCCGTTACTTCATATTCGTTCAATAATTAAATTCCATTTCTAGATATTAGTTAATTTATTCTTCGCTAAAATTCGATACTTCGTAAGCTGGTTGAAGTAATATCAAATTAATCATTCTATTAATAATGAAATTACTGAAAGTATTATTACATTACATTTTCCTAAAAAAAGATACTCATTAACTTGATTAACTGATTAAATTAATTTGGTGTATTTAATGAACTTTATACCGCTAAATACGCTGTATGGATGCTAGTTGAAAGAGAAATTTCAGGGAAGAGACCCTCATATCAATGGCAATTTACAGATAAACCAAAAAAATAACTTGGATAGCCTAAACTGGAGTTAAATCCGGATCATGCGGTTGCGCGTCGAGAGTGCTCTATTAATTAAATTACACTGATAGAAGGATTTGTTTGTATTTAATAAATCAATTTATTAAAATCTTTTTCAGATATTTTTTTGGGTGAAAATGTATTTGGGTGTGCGTGCAGTTATGTATGGTTGCAATAAAAAAATTAATTGTAAACTTCTCTAACACTTCTCTTGTAAACTTCTAATTGAAATTTCTCTTTTTATTATTTGAAACTTTTAATTTCAATTTTCTTTTACTTCATTAAATATCTAATTCTCTGTAATTTTTACAATTAAAATAAAACATTGAAACACGTTTTTGAGGTGGTGTAATAAATGTATGTTTTTTTTATTAAATAGTAATAAATATTTGGTTAGCACAAAAAATAGCTACTAATAAATGATTTATCAACTGTTAATAAATATTTGTTAAGGACCTATCCTCTAATAAATCATTTATTAAATATTAACAAATCTTTTTAAATACAAAAAAATCCTTCTATCAGTGTATATTTAATAACAATTGACTAAAAACACTGGTGTTAGGGTACATAAAAATTATAAACGAGTTTTAATATTAAAAACACTCAAACTGAACGTCTAAAGAATAGTTTTCAAACTAAATTATCAAAGATAAAGGTTTTTCAGTTATGTTCCTTATGAAAAACAATTTTTTCGACCCGTTATTTCGAATAAATGTTTACTGAAAACATTTTTACTAATTAAATAAATGAAAAAATTTCAATTATTTTTTTTTTACTTAGTATTGTTTGGTTAATAAAATTTAAAAAATTACTAAATAGTGTACTTTCAATATTAAATAACCTTATTTTAAATATCGATTATTGTTTTTTTTCTATCAGTCGATATGATTATGAACGAAAAAAAAATATGAATCAGCCAAGTGTTAAAGAATGTATTGTCAAGTCTGTGCACGAATTTATAAATAACTTTATTTTAAACCCAACAGTGTTTTTTACAGTTGAAAAATTTATTTCAAATACTATAGATATGTATATATTTCACAATACCATTTTTATGATTATTAACTACCCTTAAATATTGCTCAATTGTTCTAACAATAAAAAATTTTCCAAGGTCAATGGTAATATTTTTATTCAATTTAGTTTACTAAAAAGATAAAAAAAATATTTTTTTTAAACTACATCTTATCTTTAGGAAAAGAAAATAGTTTTGGAATATTTGTCGTAATACAAAAACGTAAAAAATGTTCTTCGTTTATTCGAGCGTGAGAAAAAATAGATGTGGTTTCCTCAGAAAATATCAATAAAACAGAAAATTTTTCTCATAAAATTGAAAAAAAAAAAAAATACATATATTATATATATTTCCTCTTTAAATATAAAATGAAATTATTCAAATGATCCAACAAAATCATCATATTTTTATTTATATTATATTATCCATTTCTTTTTTTATAAATTCTTGAAATATATTTCCGATATTTGCAGACTTTTGTGCGAGAGGATATCACGTTTTCCCGGATATACGAATTCAATTCCCCAATGGGTAATCAAAGGGGCGTAAAGTCCGTGCAATGAATGACTGCCATCGAAGCGTTCGTGCATACACATGAATATGACAAGAGAGAAATATAATATATAAAGAACCAGTCTGAAGGATAATCGAGAATATGAGTGTGAGAAAATGGCAAAATATGTATTCGAAAAAATAACAAAAATTTGTAATTTAAAATACAAATAACTATGGAGCTAACAATTGATATGCATGACCAGACAACAGTTGACGAACCATCCACTACATCATAGATAATATGACTGTTTTCCTATTTCAAATCTATCGTTAATTACTTTTTCTCAGTTCAATATAAAGAATTGCAAGTGTATGGTAAAAAAAAAAGCGCCATTTGATTACACCCGAAATGGAAGGTGGAGTTTGTAAATTGATTCGTAGGAACTTCTTTGCTTATTCAATATATATTGAGTAAATGAGTAAATTAATTATTATATGACCACGAGAACAAATACAGAAACAGGTTTTGAGCCAATTTTAACCTTGCTTAACTTAAGAATCGCTATATAGTATCATTAAGTAAGAAAGATTGTAGATCAAATCAAAGATAAAACTATCAGCTCTAAAGTGCGTATTTCATAAAAAAAAGTCTCAAATATTTGTCAAAATTTATTAAAGTAGAAATTTTTTTTTTTTTATTAATAAATTTAGGTCACTTCAACAGCTATAGGTTATTAGCGATCGCTATACATAATTATATTGCAATAGGAATAGAGTGTTTAACATCAATCGTAATATTTAATTTATTTTTACAACTTAAGTATAGAATTTTTATTGACTTTTAGATTAAATTTAATATTTTAATTGACTTTGGAAACGTGATTGCTTTATTTTGTCCTTTTACATCATTCAAACACTCATGAAGGGTGCACGGAAAAAAGTAAACTGTAATAAATAACAGTCGAATTATAATAAGTAATGATCAACTGCTAAAAATTACCATTTCAAACAGTAAAATCGTGATTTTACTATTCACTTCATAATATTTACCATTTAAACGTTACAATTTACTCTTTACATGGAAGAAAATACTATTTCAAACAGTAATATTCGCTATGTAAATGTCTAAAATTTTAAAGTATAATAATTAAGAATTCAGACTTTGATATTTATCATTTCGTACCTAAAAAATGATCTAATTATATGTAAAAAGTATAAAATAAAGTTAGTAAATTCCTAATACAAGCAACGTCAATATTGACAAAGTAAAATGGTAAATTTTAAACGCAACGCTAAAAATCAAACTGTAATTATTGACTTGCTTGGACTGGTAAAATATATATTTTAAAAGTATAATTTTTACTGTTTCAAATGTTAAATTCTCCCAGAGTGAGACCCCCTTCTCTTTCATCTAAGTTCCCCTTCTCCTCATAATATGAACTATTTATTGAAATGGCAATTTTTACTGTTTGAAACTGTAATTTTTTAAGATGAAAGAGTCGTTATTTACCTACTATAGTGACAGCTACTAATTACTTATTTTGGATATTATATTATAAATTGTCGCTTTTATACTTTCTACATCAAGTTCTGTAATATTTATATTTTTGCCACCCCGATGTCCGCATTACTGTTTGAAACTATAAAAACTAACCGGAATCCGAGTGAATATTAAAGTTTACTTTTTTCCGTGTGTTCGGGATTTTCCAAAGTAAAAGTCGTTTTTTCAATGAAAAAACTTGTTCTTAAATAAATAAAATTGTTCTTGGATAAAGGTTTTGATTGAATTGATAGAAGATAACATACTCTCGATATATTATTTAAGACAAAATTTCTTATGAAGTTCAACAATATTTCTTTCGATTTAAGATCATTCTTTCAACAATGTAGTTGCGATTGAATTACGGCTTCAACTCCGGTAAAAAAAAGTACATAAATACAGTGATAAATTGACCACACGGGCTTACGATAAATTAAATTGACCGCAGGGGGTGATGATAACCCTTTATTGTTAGAGAGACGTTTGTCAGGTGGCACCAGACACTAACAAGGCTTTGACTTGTCCCCCAATTCTCCTGATCCCAATCCCGATGCACTAGTGTAGCTCGTGTTGTCTGCTACATCATGTATATACATGATGTCACTTTGCACTGGCTCTATCCTAGGGTAGAAGGGTGGTGTGTACATTTCCTGGGAGGGTATGTGGTTGCTACGACCACAAAACCCTTCGCTGGTTGTAATATAATGCACCAAGGACTCTCCGTGTACTTTATACTCTGTATGTCATACTCTCTAGTACACATTCACATTACATTACTCTTTATATTTATATGCAATGCACTGCATTCGTGAATGCACTTCGTGCTTACGCTGCTCTCATCTATGTTATCTGTAAATAGCTTGGATAAACGTATGACTCCCGCAAATACCGTACAATCAACAGTCAGATGTTCAAATTCACATCCACATTCACATGTAATGTAATACAAT